GTGCTGCACAGACATCCCCCCTGACGGAGATTGGGGTGTCCCCGTCAGTGACCCCCCCCCAACAGAGCAGGGCTAGAGGGGAGAGTTCTAACACCGAACGCCAGCATGAGGGCTGCTGTCCAAATCTGACTGAAGCGTGATGCTCGACCAGCCCGTGGAACTGCCTGCCACTGGACAACAGGAAAAGAACAGAACAGGCCCAGGACCCAGGAGGCGCGGGCTTCCCCGATAATACTGCTGAGGGCAGGAAGAGGGGCAGTTTCTCTCCCAGGAGGAGCTGCTTGCTGGTGCCGTTGCTGGAGCTGGGATGGGTCAGGGCGGAAATTTCACTCTGCCTCAGATGGGGCGGGAGGGATTCGGGGCCCGTGCCCGGCCCCACTCTGGCATCTGCCTCAGGAGGCAGGAGGGGTGGGAGGTGAAAGATGCCATGGAGGCAGCTGGATGAATAAGTGATGGGCCTTCAGTTCTGGGTGGGGAGGGGGAATTAAAGGAAGATTTAAACGAAGCCAGGCCCCCATTCCCTTCACTCCCAACTGGGCTCCCCCCAGCGCTGCCGGTGCCCCTCGCTCCCGACCCGCAGCCCCTGCTAGCCCGGCCCTGGGCTCCCCCCAGCCCCGCTGGTGCCCCTCACTCCCGACCCGCAGCCCCTGCCAGCCCTGCCTTGGGCTCCCCCTGGAGCTTGCACCATCTGTGCCTGTTGATTATTAATTATTCATCTGCTCTCTGGCCAGGCAGCTGATGGGAGGTTAATGGACAGAGGCGGGGGGGAGGGGGAGCTCCCCTGGGACCCCCCCCCACACACACCTGTCAGCTGTAGTTGGAGCTGCCTAACCAGGCTCCTGCTAAGCAGGGAAAGCCCAGTTTACAGTTTGGCTGGGAGACGGGGCTGGGCAGCACAGCACCCCCTGGTGCCCGGCCCTGCCTGTGAGGGGAGAGCATCCCCTGCCCAGCCCCCAACCCCACTCCCTGCCCCACGGCGCCTCCCCAGCACCCAGCCCTTCCTGCCAAGGGAGAATGTCCCCTGCCCAGCGTCCTACCCCGCTCCCTGCCCCAGGGTGCCCCGCCAGCCCTGCCTGCCAAGGGAGAACTTCCTCTGCCCAGCCCCCTGCCCCGCTCCCTGCCTCCCCAGCACCCCCCAGCTCTGGCTGTCAGGTCAGGCAGGAGGATAATCACATCAAAGGGCCTGGTTTCGGCAGCTCCAGCAGGGTTACTGGCAGCTGATGCTGCACCCCAGCAGCAAGGTGGCGTTTTGGGGGTGACACGAGGGGGTATCAGCTGCTGGAGCCAAAACCTTGAGGTTAATTCTACAGAGCAACATGCGTGCCCAGTCCCAGGGGTAAGGGGGGGAGAAACAGAGCAATGGGGGGCTGCAGGATCAGTTGGGGGGCTGGGAAGAGCTGGGAGGCCAGGGACTGTGGGGCAGGAGCGGAGATGGGGGCAGGGCTGGGATGGGGGCTGTGGCTCAGGCTGCAGGGACGGGGAAGAGCTGGGGGGCAGAGGGTTAGCACTGGCTGCATGTCTGGTGCGGGGACACGGCTGCTCCTGACACAGGCCTTGACTGGCCTCGCCAGCCCGGGCTGTGGGTGCTGCCCCAGCCTGGCCCTTTGCACACCCAGGCCCACTGGGGAGACCCCGTACAGATGGTGGGACCCATATAATGGGGGGGATTGCACCCAGTGGGGGAGTCCCAGCTCTGGTCCCCTGCTTCCTGAAAGCCTCACCAGAGCCCTCCCTCAGCTAATGGCCTCGTAAAGGCATTTTTAACGTTCCAATCTCAAAAAAAACCCTGTGGGAACAAGTGGCGGAACCATAAATCTGGTACCAGGGGGGTAGGGTGGGGCCAGGCAGGGCTGAGCTGGTAGCTGGGTGGTGCCAAACAACCCCTCCCCCCAGGATAACAGGAATTGGGGGGTTGGGGGAGGTGTCCTCAGCTCAGTGCCAGGATCCTATAAGGAGGAGAGGGACCTACCCCAAAATGGGGGGGGGCATGTGTGGGGGGGGTCTGGGCAGGGATTATGGGTTCAAGCTGTGGCTGGCTCAGGGGGCTGGGAATGGGGCACTGGAGCCTTTCTCCCCTAGGGCGCCGGCTTGGCTCTGGCCCCTGGCTACGCTCCTGGTTCCCAGCTCAGCCTGGCATGGTGCCAGCCCTATTCATTAGCCCCTTCACCCAGCCAGACCCCAGCCCCATTAATAACAGTTCCAGCATCGTTAATGTCACCCTGCCTGAGCCATGCCAAGGCCCCAGCTAATAACACAACCTTGGGGCCTGGCGAGAAGCTACTCCTGGGTTCTCTCCCTGGCTCTCGGGGGAAGTAGGTTGCAGTGTATGGGGGGGGGGGCTGGGTTCATACATCAGCCCCAAGTGCCTCAGTTTGCCCGGTGAGGGAGGGCTGCAGCCACACCCCTCTCCGCACTCTCATTAAGGCAGGCCCAGCACTGTGATATCACAAAGATGCAGCAGAAATGCTGAGTACTGTTGTGGGTCCTTTTCCAACAATTCTCGGGGGGGGTCCCTGCCTCTCCCAGGGCCGGAGGGGTGGTGCGTGTGTGTGTGTGCCAGGAGACATGGGCAGGGTGGTGGGGGGGATGGGGGCAGGGGAGGTTGAGCAGAGGGGTGCGTGGCTGGTGGGGCTGTTGGATTGGGGTCTCGGGGGGAGGCACGTCCATGCCCACCCCCAGGATGTACCGCTCGCCTGCAATGCAAACCTCAGACACGTTCCAGACCCATCCCTTGCTCCTCTCCCCCCCACCCCGCCCCATAAATCTCCCCTGACATGGATGGGGGAGGGGCGATAGTTGTGGCAAGCGCAAACCTGGTTCCTAAAGATTAATTATGATCCACGGGGCTTTTAGCACATTAATCGCTTGATGCACAGTGACTTGCGGCTGGCTAAGCCAATGGGGAGGGGTGGGGAGAAGCTGGGAGCCAGGACTCCTGGGTTCTCTCCCCAGCTCTGGGAGGGGAGCTGGGTCTGGTGGGTTAGAGTGCGGGGGGGCGAGGGCTGGGAGCCAGGACTCCTGGGTTCTCTCCCAACTCTGAGAGGGGAGCGGGGTCTGGTGGGTTAGAGCGGGGGGGGGCTGGGAGCCAGGACTCCTGGGTTCTCTCCCCAGCTCTGGGAGGGGAGCTGGGTCTGGTGGGTTAGAGTGCGGGGGGGCGAGGGCTGGGAGCCAGGACTCCTGGGTTCTCTCCCAACTCTGAGAGGGGAGCGGGGTCTGGTGGGTTAGAGCTGGGGGGGGCTGGGAGCCAGGACTCCTGGGTTCTCTCCCCAGCTCTGGGAGGGGAGCGGGGGGTGGGCTGTTTATACCAGGACCCAGCAGGCTCCCACCTGGGTTCCCGCACCAGGGGCTGGAAAACCAGCAGAAATGTCAGCGCCCCAGGGCCTCGCCCCAGCGTCTCCGGGCTGATACGACAGCGCCCTCTGCCGGGCACAAAGCGGCTCGGCGGTGGTTGAAGAGGAGCTCAGAGCTGCCAGCGTCTCCCAGCCCCACGTCCATAGAAGAAATACTTTTGCACCCCCAGAGCGGGGCGAGAACCCAGGAGTCCTGGTATGGAGATGGAGGGAGAAGGTTGCAATTTATTTTCCCTTGGAGGGGACAGGCTAAAGTGCCACCTGGAAAGGGGGTGGTGGTTGCTGCTGGTGGCCCATGGGGGAGGGAAGTAGTTTGTTCACCGAGAGCCGGTGGGACTCCCTGCCACTGGACAGCACCGAAGGCTCGGGCTTGACTGGGTCCCATGTGGGTCGGGGCATATCCATAGCCCTTAGAGGAATAGGAGGTGGTAAAAAAGAGCGCACCAACACATCTGGGGCGTGCAGGGTGTGTGCGTGTGTCTGTTAACCCTCAAACTCCAGCACTCAGATGTGGCCAGCTCTGGCAGGGTCTGATTATACGGGGACCCCTCGCCCAGCACTGGCTCGCGGCTCCTCTTAGGTGGGGCGGGGGCTGGTTATACAGTGATCCCTTGCCCAGCGCTGAGCCACGCCCCCCCCCCCCATGGCAGGGCACAGGAGCTGGTTATATGGAGACTCTTTTCCCGGTGCTGAGATGCAGCCACTTCTGGGGTGAGGCATGTGAACAGCTTGCTCCCCACATTTCCAAGGTTCATACATTTTCTGCTGGGGCATCACAGCATTAAGGCAGCCGGGACACGGCTAGATGGGCCCATGGGGCTGTTCCTGGGAATAGGACCCCGGTGTCCTGGGCCCCTCCACGAGGGAGAGATTCCCCCCACTTTTCTCCATCCTCCCACAGGAAGAGCCCCCACTTGCCCTAGAAGACCCCCACTTTGTCACCACTTGTCCGGCCGGCTATAATTACGGACTAATTAACAGACCCCTCCCCCCCCATTTCAGCCTCTCTGTGTGCCCCCACTGGGAACTCCAATCTGCCCCACCTGCCCCAGACCCCGCCCCTCGCAATGAGGGGCAAGCTGGGCTCTGGGGACGAGGCCGGGGAGGGTCCCAGTGGGGCGGGGGGCGAGGGCGGAGCCAGGAGCGGGGGGCGGAGCCGGAGGGTGGATATAGTCGGGGGGCGGAGCCGGAGGCAGGTCCCAGCGGGGCGGGGGCGGAGCCACGGGCGGGGGCGGAGCCGGGGGTCCATAAAGACGGGAGATGGAGCCAGGGGCGGAGCTGGAGGCTGGATATAGGCGGGGGGCGGAGCCGGAGACGAGACCCAGCGGGGCGGGGGCGGAGCTGGAGGCTGGATATAGGCGGGGGGCGGAGCCGGAGGCGAGACCCAGCGGGGCGGGGGCGGAGCTGGAGGCTGGATATAGGCGGGGGGCGGAGCCGGAGGCGAGACCCAGCGGGGGCAGAGCCGGAGGGTGGATATAGGCGGGGGGCGGAGCCAGGGGCGGACCTGGAGGCTGGATATAGGCGGGGGGCGGAGCTGGAGCCGGAGGCGGGTCCTAGCGGGGCGGGGGGCGGAGCCAGAGGCTGGATATAGGCGGGAGGCGGAGCCAGAGGCTGGATATAGGCGGGGGGCGGGGCCGGGGGCGGGTCCTAGCGGGGGCGGGGCCGGTGGGATCTGGAGGCGGGTTCTGGGGCTCGCTCGGTTCCTCCCTGTTCCGGGCCGGGGTCCGCCGGAGCCGCAGCCGCCAAGTGAGCAGCGCTCGGGGGTCAGGAGGATTGGGGGGCTGGCGGAGGGGGCTGAGGCGGGGTGTGTGATAGTATCGGGGGGGGCGATGGGGGGCACACAGGGTGTATCGGGTTTATGGGGGACTCTGGGGCTGCGGTACCCTGGGGGAGATGGGGGGCTGTTGGGGGAAGCGGGGTGTGAGGGTATTGGGGGGATGGGGTACACTCGGGGGATGGGGGGGCTGTGGGGCAGGTGAGAGGGGAGGGTCACAGGATTTGGGCCGGTTCTGGACTCTGACGGACCCGTCACTTCCCTTCCAGCTCCCGTTCCTCTGGGCTTAGACTCCCCCTCCCAGGGGCCCCTTGGATGGTGCCATGAGATTGGCAGGTGAGAGGCTCGGGGGGGGGGGGGGCTGGTGTGGGTGCGGGGGACGTACCAGCTGGGGGGGGCTGGGTTGGATGGGGGGGGTCGTACCAGCTGGGGGGTGGTGTGGGTGCAGGGGTCGTACCAGCTGGGTGTGGGCAGTGGGGTGGAGGGTTGGATGCCGGGGCTAGGTTTGCACTGAGGGGGGCCCCTAACCCTATGCCCTGGCTCTGATCCCCTCCTTCCCTCCCCCCAGGCCCCCTGCGCGTGGTGGTGATCGTCCTCACCGCTGGGCTCACCTGGATCCTCGTCAGCCTTCTGCTGGGCACCCAGAGTGGCTTCTCTCGCCTCCAGCAGCTCCTCAGCAGTAAGAGCTGGGCCCCGCACCCCCAGCCATGATAGCCAGGCACCTTGTGGCAGGCAATTCCACAGGGCAACATCATCCATGGCTATAGCGGCAGGAGCAGGGTTGCCCCCTGGAGGGATCTGCCCCTGGGATGGGGCGGGCAGGGGCTGTAGTGTCCCCCCTTCCCCAGCAAGGACGCTCGATTGTCTTGTGGCCGGGAGTTTCACAGGGGATGACCCTGCCCAGTGCTGTGATACAAGGCCCTGAATCCTGACAGGGTTGGGGGGAGGATCTTCCCCTGGGGCAGACTCCTGACCCCCAAGCAGCAGGGGAAAGGATGTTGGGACCAAGTTCTGGACCCGCCACGGGGGGGGGGCAGGGTGGGGCGGGAACACTGCGCTGTGGGTCACTGCAGCTGTTCTTTCTCTCCTCACAGGCCCTGACAACCCCTCCACAGCAGGTGAGTGACTGGTGGAGGGGCTGCTACACCAGAGCAGGGGCTTGTCCTGCTCCCCCCTGGATTTGTGCCATGTGGGGGACAGGGGGTCCTGGCTGGAGGCCCAGTCTGGGGAGAGGAGGGGGGCAGGGCTCCAGGGTGCTCTCCCCTCCCCTCACCAGCCCCCTCTCTTCTTGCCCCCAGTGTCAGGCTGGGGCAGCTCGGCTGTGCCCCTTCGGGCCAGCGCCGCCCCCTCAGGCAGGGCGGGAGCCAGAAGCAGACACAACAGTGAGTCTCTGGCCTGTGCGGTCGGGGGCAGCGGTAGCAGAGGGCTGGGTCCCAGGCTGGGAGCAGGGACCCTGCGGTGGGGGGAGGGGGGGGCAGCGGGGGGCTGGGTCGCAGGCCGGAAGCAGGGACCCCATGGGGGCCTGTGGTAGCAGGGGGCTGGGTCCCAGATACAGGGGCGGGGACCCCAGTGCATCACCCCAGGTGTCCCTACTGGCTGGGGTGGAGGGTGTCGCAGTCCCATAGGGTGAGGTTGGAGTACCACCTCATTTCACAGGTGACTCCCTTGGTCCCCTATCCCCCAGCTCAGCTCACGTTCCTGCACCAGCATCCCCCTCCCAGGAGCCCCTTCCCCCCCCACACCCCCCATGGCAGGGACATGGCACCCTTGACTGGTGTGGGAGCTGTCGAGCCCAGGAGACCATGGGGGGGGGGGGTGTTTGACATTAGGGTGTCTTGGCGACCTACCCACATCTCACCACCCCCTGCCCAGAGCCGCGACCCAGGAGGTACAAGTGCGGCCTCCCACAGCCCTGCCCCGAGCTGCATCTCGCCTTCCGCCTGGTCAGCGGCGCCGCCAACGTCATCGGGCCCAAGATCTGCCTGGAGGATAAAATGTGAGTCGTGGGGTTCGGGGCTCAGCATTGGGAGGTGAGAGAAGGCAGCATACTAATTAGGGGCAGAACTGTGGGGAGAACCCAGGAGTCCGGGCTCCCAGCCCCTCTCCAACCCACCAGACTGCATGTCCCTCCCAGAGCCAGGGAGAGAACCCAGGCTCCGCTGTGGGGCTGTTCTCACCTCACTTTCATTCCAGGCTAATGAGCAGTGTGAAGAACAATGTAGGGCGGGGCCTGAACATCGCCCTAGTGAATGGTGAGTGGTGGGGCAGGAGGGGGGAACATTGTTGTGGCCTGGGTGTGGAGCTGAGGAAGAGGGGACTGCGGAGGGGGCACGGGGGCTGGGAAAGAGGGGCTGGCCTGGGGAACGGGGGGGGGAGGGGAGGGGGCTGCAGCAGGGTGAGCTCTGACTCTCTCTCTCTGGTTCCAGGGGTCAATGGGGAGCTCATTGATGCCAGGTTCTTCGACATGTGGGCTGGAGGTGAGGGGGGCCAGCACCTGAGGATGTTGTGGGGGGACTTGGGGCGGAGGGAGAGGATCTGAGGGGGCTCCAGACCCTGGCGCAGGGGATGGTGAGTCTGTGTGAGAGGCAGGAATGTGTGGGTGGGTGGGGGGGAGAGGCTCGGGATCCCTGTGTAGCAGGAGGGCTGAGGATGTTGTGGGGAGGGGGGGGAAGTCCATGGGGGCTCCAGCTGGGAGACCCTGGCACGGGAGGTCTGTGTGACAGGCAGGAACATGGGGGGAGGCTCAGGGGAACCCTGTGGGTCGGGGGGCCCAGGCCTGCGCTCACCCCTGCATCTTTCACCCCAGATGTCAACGAGCTGCTGAAGTTCATTCGACCGCTGCACGAGGGGACCCTGGTGTTCGTGGCCTCATATGACGACCCAGCCACAAAGTGGGTGTGGGACGCAGGCCCAGTGGGGCCTTTCCCCTCTGGGGGGGGCGCCAGCTCCCATCTGTCCCCAGGGCGGGGACTGGCTGGCTTGTGGGGGTGGGAATGGGGCCTGGGGCCTCACCCCTCTAAGGGTGCTGGCTACCATCCAGACTCCGGGCCAGTGGTGGGGGCCCTGGCTGGCTCAGAGGGAAGGATATGGGACCTGTCCCCTCTAGGGGTCACCAGCTTCCATCTGGCCCCAGGGCAGGGACTCGCTGGCTCAGGGGAATGGGGCCTGGGGTCTTTCCCATCTGGCGGGTGCCAGCTCCCATCCAGCCCCAAGGTGGGGGCCCTGGCTGGCTCCGTGCGGGGCCCAGATCCTCCCGCTGAGCCAGGGCTCTGCCCCCAGGATGAACGAAGAGACACGGAGGATTTTCAGCGAGCTCGGCAGCAGCGTGGCCAAGGAGCTCGGCTTCCGTGACAGCTGGGTCTTTGTGGGGGCCAAAGGGGTGCAGGACAAAAGCCCCTTCGAGCAGGTGAGCCCCTCCACCCTCCCGTTTCCCCCTCGCCAGGGGCCCAGCCCACTCCTCTCCCTGTCCCCAGCTGATTGCCTTCCCAAGGGCAGACCTGAGGTCAGCCAGCGGGTGTCCTGTCATGCCCGCAGAGACTCCCATGAGTGGAGGCCTGGGGGGGTGGGGAATGGGTCACAGCTTCAGATGGGGGAAGAGTCTGGGGGACCCTGGGACTGAGGGAGATGGAGAAGCTGAGGGGGCTGGGGGTGGGGTGGGTCACAGCTTCGGTGGGAGAGGTTGGGGGATCCTGGGACTTAGGGGAGTAGAGAAGCTGGGGGTGTGTTGGTCACAGTTTGTGGGGGGCAGGAAGAGGCTGGGGGCCCCTGGGACTGAGGGGGGGGGTAGAGAAGCCAGGCGGCCCCTTCTCTGCCTTAACGTGGGTTGTCCCTTCCCCCAGCACACCAAGAACAGCAAGAGCACCAACAAGTATGAGGGCTGGCCGGAGGCACTGGAGATAGAGGGCTGCATCCCGCAAAAAAAGGCTGATGGCCAGTGATCCCCCCACCCCCACCCCTGGAACCCGAGGCGTGGGGACACTGCACCATGACAGGGAGGGGGGCTTGCTCCTTGAGTCTGTGGGCAGGTCTGGCAGGGAGCCCCCTTTCTCCAGCTCCCCCAAGGATGGGCCAGGCTGTTTCTGGTGGGGTGCCTGCCGCACTGATTTTCTCACTGGGCGGCTGGGGATTGCAGGCCCCGTCCCTTCTAAGTGCCTTATTCCCCCAGGCAGGCGTTAAGCCCAGGTGCATTCCTTGCCTTACTGATGGTTGTGGGGGGGCTCGTTCCCTGCTCTCTACCCTGAAATTATCACCACTCCTTGGAGAGCGATGCCCTCAATTCTAGCCTGGCAGGGATGGGGGTCTGCTTGGGCCAGTCCCCTCCCTGGTGTGGTGATTCAGTGGTGTCCCCCTCTGCTGAGAGGGGAAACTGCAGGGGGTTTTCTAGCTCGAGGGCAGAGGGGTCTGTAACCTCCCATGGCCTGGGCCCTCCATGGGGTCTGAATAAATGCAGTGCAGAGAGAGCAGAGGCTGTTGTCCATCCTTGGGGGCTGGTGTGATGGGGGGCAGAGGTGGAGGGGGTTGTGGCCTTTCTTCTGCTAGACTGAAGAGCCTCTCGCCTAATGTTTGTGCCCCAAGAGGTCCTGAGAGAGGGAGATCGTCAACCTTTAAATTCTGTGTGAAACTGAATAAACTGGGGTCTGGGCAACCTACTGGCAGAGGAAATTCAATGTTGATAAATACAAAGTAATGCACATTGGGAAACATAATCCCAACTGTCTATATAAAATAATGGGGGCTAAATTAGCTGTTACTACTCAAGAAAGAAATCTTGGAGTCACTGTGGCTAGTTCTCTGAACACATCAACTCAATGTGCAGCAGCAGTCAAAAAAGCAAACAGACTGTTGGGAATCATTAGGAAAGGGATAGATAATAAGACAGAAAATATCATGTTGCCTCTATATTAAAACCATTGGATGCCTACATCTTGAATAAAGAAAAGGAGTACTTGTGGCACCTTAGAGACTAACCAATTTATTTGAGCATAAGCTTTTGTGAGCTACAGCTCACTTCATCACTTCATTCATGAAGCGAGCTGTAGTTCACGAAAGCTTATGCTCAAATAAATTGGTTAGTCTCTAAGGTGCCACAAGTACTCCTTTTCTTTTTGCGAATACAGACTAACACGGCTGTTACTCTGAAACCTGTGTGTATATAATGTCTGCTGCAGTTTCCACGGTATGCATCCGATGAAGTGAGCTGTAGCTCACGAAAGCTCATGCTCAAACAAATTGGTTAGTCTCTAAGGTGCCACAAGTACTCCTTTTCTTTTTGCGAATACAGACTAACACGGCTGTTACTCTGAAACCATACATCTTGAATATTGTGGGCAGATGTGGTCACTCCATCTCAAAAAAGATATATAGGAAAAGGTTCAGCAAAGGGCAAAAAAATGATTCGGGGCATGGAACAGCTATCGTATGAGGAGATGTTTCAGAGTAACAGCCTGCCATATGAGGAGAGATTCATAAGACTGGGACTTTTCAGCTTGGAAAAGAGACGACTAAGGGGGGATATGATAGAGGTCTATAAAATCATGATTGGTGTGGAGAAAGTAAATAAGGAAGTGTTATTTACTCCTCATAACACAAGAACTAGGGGTCGCCAAATGAAATGAATAGGCAGCAGGTTTAAAACAAACAAAAGGGAGTATTTCTTCACACAAGGCACAGTCAGCCTGTGGAACTCTTTGCCAGAGGATGTTGTGAAGGCCAAGACTATAACAGCGTTCAATAAAGAACTAGATAAATTCATGGAGAATATGTCCATCAATGGCTATTAGCCAGGATGGCAGCGATGTGTCTCTAGCCTCTGTTTGCCAGAAGCTGGGAGTGGGTGACGGGATGGATCATTTGGGGATTACCTGTTCTGTTCATTCCCTCTGGGGCACCTGGCTTTGGCCACTGTTGGGAGATGGGGGGAGATGGACCTTTGGGCTGACCCAGTATGGCCATTCTTATGTTCTGGTGTCTCTTGCTGGAAGGCAGGTTTTGTAGCCCTTGATCATTCTTGGGGATCTTCCCTGAGCCCTCTGCCTTTGATCACCATCCTCCCCTGCGCCCCAGCTGGCAATCACATGAGCAAGAGTCTTCTCAGAGCATGGAGGGCTTCGTCCTTGTGGGGGCTCCAGGGGGTGGGACCAACGTGTTGAGATGAGTCTAAAACTCTGGCCTGTGAGGTGGCTCCCACTCCACCCCATCCCACTCCACCCACAGTGGGATGTTCTGCCAGTCATTCTCCCCTGCCATGGGTCTGTCTGGGCCTGTGGACTTGCATGGTTGGTCAGCGCTGAGGCTCTGGGACTGGCTTTTTCTGTGTCCGACCAGGGTTGAGCCCCGTGGCTGCCTGATCCTGGCGAGGGCTCCGAGGCAGGAGTCAGACAAATCATGGGCAGCAATCAGGATAAGACCTGGGGCCAGGGCGAGGGAGGCCGCCGCCCGGGAGGCTCTAGGCCAAGCTCCAGGAGTGAAGGGTGGCAACAAAGCCCCCCTGGCTGCTCCTGGGCAGCGACTGGGCCTGGCAGAAAGACAAGCCGCAGGTGCCTGCGGATTGGTGACACGTTCCCCAGCCCCAGGGAGAGGAAAAGAGAAAGAACGAGCAGCAGGGGCGGCGCCAGGCCCTGGGCAGAGGCCGGGTAGGGGAGGCCCCGCCGGGCCCGGGTATGGCCGGGGCCGGGCCCTGGGGGGAGGCCGGGTGGGGGAGGGCCTGCCGGGCCTGGGTTTGGCCGGGGCCGGGCCCTGGGCGGAGGCCGGGTGGGGGAGGGCCCGCCGGGCCCGGGTTTGGCCGGGGGGGCCCTGGGGGAGGGGGTAGGGGAGGCCCGCCGGGCCATGCCCGAGCTGGGGCCGGGCCCGGGTTTGGCCGGGGCCGGGCCCTGGGGGGAGGCCGGGTGGGGGAGGCCTCGCCGGGCCATGGCCGAGCTGGGGCCGGGCCCTGGGGGGAGGCCGGGTGGGGGAGGCCCCGCCGGGCCATGCCCGAGCTGGGGCCGGGCCCGGGTTTGGCCGGGGCCGGGGCCGGGCCCTGGGGGGAGGCCGGGTGGGGGAGGCCCCGCCGGGCCCGGGTTTGGCCGGGGCCGGGCCCTGGGGGGAGTTTGGGGCCCTGGGGTTTGCTAGGCCGCGCCCGCCCCGCCCCTGTGACTGACACACGCTTTTGGGGGGGGCCCTAATCCCACCAATCACAGGATGGGGAAAGGCCAGGCCCCACCACTCAGCAGCCAGGGTACTTACGTCACACCAATCAGAGCCTGGCGGGTGGGGGATGCAGGGGGACAGCTACTCAGAGCACAGGGATCGTAGTTCCACCAATTAGAAGACAGGGCTGCAGAGGCTCACCAATCAGCGGTCCGAATGTCCCTAGCTCCACCAATCAGAATAAAAGAGGTCGCAGACTTCTAACCAATCAGAGGACACCGACTCCTCAGTCCCGCCCTGTCTTTTCAACGTACTTCCGGTCCCCAGGCCCATCCCCCTGCGGTCCGCAGCCGCTTCCGTGGTGGGTGGGACCATTGTGAGATCGTGTCCCGCGGGGCGGGGCCAGGACTGTGACGCAACAGAGGGGCGGTGCCGAAGGGATCCGGACGCTGCCGAGTCAAGTGGGACCCGCGGGGCGGTGCCAGGTGCGGGGGGGCAGCAGGAGGGGGATGGGAGAGGGGCCGGGGAGATGGGGGGCAGCAGGAGGGGGATGGGAGAGGGGCCGGGGGAATGGGGGGCAGCAGGAGGGGGATGGGAGAGGGGCCGGGGGGATGGGGGGCAGCAGGGGGCCGGGGGGATGGGAGAGGGGATGGGGGGCAGCAGGAGGGGGGATGGGAGAGGGGCCGGGGGGCAGCAGGGACTGGGGGCAGCAGGGGCAGATGGAGAGGGGATGGGGCAGCGGGGGGGGATGGGGATAAGGAGATAGGGGCGTACAAGGGTTACAAGGGCTAGCACCTGGAACGAGGAGTTTTTGGGGGACAAGAGTCGGGGGGGTTGTGTCCCCTCGCTGGCAGGGCTAGGGGTGGTCGCAGTGGTGGGGCTGTAGGGCCAGGGGTCCAGCTAGGATTTGGGGTGGGGGTGTTGCAGGGGGTAGCAGGAGGGGTTGGGGGGCAGCGGGCAGGGGCTTGCCTGGAACTTGGGTGGAGGTGGGGGAAAGCCTGGGGCTGGGTCCTGAAGGAGTTTGACTTTCTCCCCTGACCCTGTGACCCCTCTGATCCTACAGGATGGGGCAGCATTTGGGGCTGCCCTGCCCCCTGTGTGCCTTGTTGATGGAGGGTGCAAGGTGTGGGCGATATTGAGGACACGTGTGTAAAGGGGGACTACCTATGGGAAGAGGGATGCATATGGGGTGTCTTGGGGGGGTGACTGTGATCAGCTTCCCTACCTGCCTCTTACTAACTTTGTAGCACAGCTGAAGAGAGAGGGAATGGCCGGCCCTGCCCCACAACCCCTGCCCCATAACCCCCACCCCATGCACTCCCCCCACAGCCCGACTCTGGGCTGCCCCTTCCCCCAGTCCAGATCGGCCAGTTCCCTGCTCCAGGGTGGGCGGCCAGGAGCCGGCAGCCTCAGCCAAGACCCCACCCCCACTCCCATCTATCCCCCCTCAGGCTCCTCCTCTCCCCATTCCCTCCCCCCAGGTTGGCAGGGACACCTGGCGACGGAGCAAAGAAGCCTCGGACGCGTCCTGGCTGAAGGACGTCCCCATGTGCCAGAGTCGCTGGAGACCAGGCGCCCGTGGGCTGTGAGACCCCCTGGTATGGCACAGGCCCTGCTGGTCCTGCTGCTGCTGGGCTGCTGGGCCCCGCCAGCCAGGGGGCAGCCGGCCAGCACATACCTGAGCATGGGCGACGGCAGCACCCTGGAGTTCGACTTCCCCGAGAGGAGCCGGGGCATCATGGTGGTGTCCAGCCGCTACCCGGGCGCCAACGGGACGGCAGGCGGTACCCGGCTCAGCGCAGCCTCACTGGCGCCTGCTGTGCTGACGGTGGAAAACATCAGCACCCTGTGCTGTGGGGCGAGGGGCTTCCTGGTGGCCATCCGCTCGGGCCTGGCTGGCCTGGCACCGCTCCGGCTGCGCCTGCTGGACCGGCAGCAGCTGGTAGAGGAGCGAGGCGAGTTCCGGGTGCGAGTGCTGCCAGGCGAGGAGCCGGAGCACCCGGGGTTGGGCCACTTCTCGGAGAACCCGCTGCTCTACGCTCTTCTGCCCCTCATCTTCGTCAACAAGTGCGCCTTTGGCTGCAAGGTGGAGCTGGAGGCACTGCGGGATCTTGCGCGCCAGCCCCACCCCGTCCTCCTGGGCATCCTGGGCCAGTTTGTGGCCATGCCCCTCTACGGCTACCTCATGTCGCTGGCCTTCGCCCTGCCCAAGGCGCTGGCGCTAGGGCTGGTCGTCACCTGCTCCTCGCCAGGTGGGGGCGGCGGGTACCTCTACAGCCTCCTGCTGGGCGGGGACGTCACCCTGGCCATCTCCATGACGCTGCTGTCCACGGTGGCAGCCGCCGGGCTGATGCCGCTCTCCTCAGCGCTCTACGGGCGGCTGCTGAGTGCCCACCAGAGTCTGCACGTGCCCTTCGCCAAGATCCTGGCCACGCTGCTCTTCATCGCGGTGCCCATCTCGGCCGGCCTGCTGGTGAAGTGCAAGCTGCCTAGGGTTGCCCGCCTGCTGCTGCTGCTCATCAAGCCCTTCAGCTTTGCCCTCATCCTAGGCGGGCTCTTCATGGCCTACCACATGGGGGCGTTCATCCTGGCTGACGTGCGACCCCCTGTGGTGCTGGCTGGACTGAGCGTGCCCCTCTTCGGCCTCCTGCTGGGCTACCTCCTGGCCACCTGCCTGCGACTGCCGGGCCCACACCGCCGGACGGTCAGCATTGAGGTGGGGGTGCAGAACAGTCTGCTGGCCCTGGCGGTCTTGCAGCTCTCCTTCCGCCGCCGACAGGCCGACTACGCCTCCCAGGCCCCCTTCGTGGTGGCACTGAGCAGCACGGCTGAGATGCTGGTGCTGGTGCTGGGCCATCTCCTCTACAAGAAGCTGCGGCCGCCAGCCAGCCCCTGAGCACCCCCCTGCCCCGAGAGGGACTGGGCCCCCTGCTGGAGGCAGCTGCAAAGGGGGCTGTGCTTCCCCAGCCGCTGAGTGCCTCCTGCTGGGGGCAGAGATGGGAGGATTCAGGGACCTCTGTACAAGGAACTCTGGGCCCAGGGCCCTTCCCCGCGGGGGCAGTTAGAAACCAAAGTCTTTCACATGGGGCCCTAAATACCCAGCATTATTTTTATATGATGTATTTTCTATGCTGCTGGCGGTGGCCCCCCAGGATGTGGGGCCTAGGCTGTTTACAGGAGGAGGGAGCACCCAGGTGAGGGTTTGAATAAAGGAGAGAGAGCAACACCGTTTGTGGATGGAGCTGTTACTGGGGGTGTGGGAGATAGCAAAGGAGGGGGCTGTAGGCAGCTGGGCTCCCTTTGCTCAGCCAGGACAGGCACAACCCTGATGTCACCCTGAGAGCAAACATGGGTGCTGGCCCTACTGCAGGCTGCTCTGTGCCTGACCCCTGGCATGGAGAGTGGGGAAGCTAGGAACCCATGCCAGGCTGTCTGCCCTGCCCCTCTCTGCTGTGCAACTTCCAAGCTTAATGCCTCTCCCAACCACACCCTCATGGCAACAGCGAAGAAACGGGAAACTCGGCCTCCTCACCACTTCCTTATTCCCGCTGTGATGCGGCGAGCCCAGGGCCGGGCTAGCAGGGGGCTGCGGGTCGGGGGTGAGGGGCACCGGCGGGGCAGGGGGCTGCGGGTCGGGAGTGAGGAGCACCGGCAGGGCAGGGGGCTGCGGGTCGGGAATGAGGGGCACCGGTGGGCTGGGGAGGCAGGGGGGGTGTGGGCCGGGAGTGAGGGGCACCCGTGGGCTGGGGGGCAGGGGCCGTGGGTCAGGAGTGAGGGGCACCGGTGGGCTGGGGGGGCAGGGGCTGCGGCTCGGGAGGGGAACCGGCAGGGCTGGGGGGCGCAGGGGCCTGCGGGTCACGAGTGAGGGGCACCGGCAGGCTGGGGGGGGCAGGGGGCTGCGGGTCGGGAGTGGGGGGCACCGGCAGGGCTGGGGGGGGCAGGGGGCTGCGGGTCGGGAGTGAGGGGCACCGGCAGGGCTGGGGGGGGCAGGGGGCTGCGGGTCGGGAGTGGGGGGCACTGGCAGGGCTGGGGGGGCAGGGGGGTGGGTGGGAGTGGGGGCACCGGCAGGGCTGGGGGGGGCAGGGGGCTGCGGGTCGGGAGTGGGGGGCACCGGCAGGGCTGGGGGGGGGGCCGTGGGTCGGGAGTGAGGGGCACCGGCAGGGCTGGGGGGGGAGGGGGCTGCGGGTTGGGAGTGGGGGGCACCGGCAGGGCTGGGGGGGGCGGGGGCTGTGGGTCGGGAGTGGGGGGCACCGGCAGGGCTGGGGGGCAGGGGCCGTGGGTCGGGAGTGGGGGGCACCGGCAGGGCTGGGGGGCGGGGGCCGTGGGTCGGGAGTGGGGGGCACCGGCAGGGCTGGGGGGGGAGGGGGCTGCGGGTCGGGAGTGGGGGGCACCGGCAGGGCTGGGGGTGGGGGGCAGGGGCCGTGGGTCGGGAGTGGGGGGCACCGGCAGGGCTGGGGGTGGGGGGCAGGGGCCGTGGGTCGGGAGTTCCTGTGGGGGGCACTGGGAGGTCCGGTGCCTTTGTCTGCCCCCCGCGCCCCCCCACTGCGCTGCTCTCGCGCCAAGGTCAATGGAGCCCGAGAGCTGCTCTTGCCCTCCTTGCGTCTCTATGGTACTGGAGGCTGTCCAGACTGGCCTTTGGTCCCCCGGGCCTGTGCAGAACAGAGTGTGCCGCTCTGTCCGTTCCGTTGGATCTTTATGGTATAATCCTGCCACTCTAGTCCTGACGCCCTCTGGTTATCTATGGTATGGAACCAGCCGCTCTGGCCCTGACTCCCACCGCATCTCTATGATATGACATCGCCCAGTCTCCCCGCCCCCTTTAGTCTCTATGGTTACGGTCACTCTGGACACCACTCCGCTCAGACTCTATGGCATAACGCCGGCCGCTCTATCTGCGGACTCGCGGTACTCTATGGCCTCCTTCCGTCTAGTCTAGCGGACCTTCTTACAACTCTATGCTTCCCGGAGGCGGCCGCTCTATCCCGGTGTCCTCCCGGATGTCTATGGGGCCGTTAAAGGGGCCGCTCCGGGCTGCGCGGCCGCGATCCCGCGATGCTGCTCACGGTGAAGGCGCTGCAGGGCCGGGGCTGCAGCCTGCAGGTGCCCGGGGGGGACCGGAGGGGCTGGCTCGGGGGAGGGGCTGTGCCCGGGGGGGGGGGTGGAGGGGCTGACGGGGGGAGGGGCTGTGCCCGGGGGGGGTCGGAGTGGCTGGCTGGGGGGCGGGCTGTGCCCGGGAGGGGGGCTGTGCCTGGGGGGGACCGGAGGGGCTGGCTCGGGGGAGGGGCTGTGCCCGGGGGGGTGGAGTGGCTGGCTGGGGGCGGGCTGTGCCCAGGAGGGGGCTGTGCCTGGGGGGACCGGAGGGCCTGGCTCGGGGACGGGCTGCCCGGGGGGGTGGAGGGGGGCGGCTGGCTGGCTGGGGGGGGGCCTGTGCCCGGGGGGGGTGGGTGGCTGGGGGGGCGGGCTGTGCGGGAGGGGGCTGTGCCTGGGGGGGACCGGAGGGGCTGGCTCGGGGGAGGGGCTGTGCCCGGGGGGGGGGTGGAGTGGCTGGCTGGGGGGCGGGCTGTGCCCAGGAGGGGGGCTGTGCCTGGGGGGGACCGGAGGGCCTGGCTCGGGGGACGGGCTGTGCCCGGGGGGGGGTGGAGGGGCTGGCTGGCTGGCTGGCTGGGGGGGGGGCCTGTGCCCGGGGGGGGTCGGAGTGGCTGGCTGGGGGGCGGGCTGTGCCCGGCAGGGGGGCTGTGCCTGGGGGGGACCGGAGGGGCTGGCTCGGGGGAGGAGCTGGCTGGGGGGTGTTTATGGGGGGGCCCTCTGCCTGCATCTCTACCCTAGGGGGGGAAGCAGGTGGGAGAGGTGTGGGAGGGGCTGTCGAGTGATGTTGGGTGGGGAGATAGGGAAGATCCAGGGAGGGGTGGGGGGGCACCAGTGGGGGGTGTGAGGCAGGTGCCGGGAGCCCCGGGGGTGTGAGGTGGGGAGGGTTTGTGGGGGAGGTTCCTGGGGGATGGATGGGGGGGCACCGGTGGGGTTTGTCAGTCCTGGGGGGGGGTGTAGCTCCCCACTGCAGCCCCCCCCCATTTTCCCCAGGTCTCCCCGGACGAGCGCGTCAGCACCCTGAAGCGTCTGGTCTCGGAGAAGTTGAACGTCCCAGTCTCTCAGCAGCGGCTGCTTTTCAAGGGCAAGGCCCTGGCAGGTGGGTGCCTGTTCCCGGGGCACAGGAGTCTGCAGACAGGCAGCCCCCAGAGGGGCACGACTGCTCCTCATACGCCTCGTTACCCTGAAACGTCATGACAACGCATATCATTACTAACACCAGCCATTTCATCGCCCACCCGCTTCATCTAATCTCATTCAGTGCGGATGCCTCTGGGGTGGGGCAGGGGGTGTTTATATGGGGACCCCTCACCTGGGGCTAAGATGCAGGGAGTTGGTTACAGAGAGACCCCTCGCCCAGTACTGAGACAGGACCCCTCTGGCGTGGGGTAGGGGGTGTTTATATGGGGACTCCTCACCTGGTGCCAAGATGCAGGGAGCCAAGTATCAGAGTGGTAGCCGTGTTAGTCTGTATCCACAAAAACAACGAGGAGACCAGTGGCACCTTAAAGACCAACAGATTTATTTAGGCATAAGCTTCAATGGGTAAAAAACCCCACTTTTTTACCCATGAAAGCTTATGCTCAAATAAATCTGTTAGTCTTTAGGGTGCCACCGGACTCCTCGTTGTGTTTGAAGATGCAGGGAGTTGATTACATGGAGACTCCCGTACTGAGACGTGGCCCCTCTGGGGTAGGGCAGGGGGTGTTTATACAGGGACCCTTTGCCCAGTGCTGAGACATGCCTGCCCTCCTCCCGTGGCAGGGCGCAGGGACTGTTTATTCAGGGACCCTTCACCAGTGCTGAGATGGGGTAGGGTAAGAGTTGTAATGGTCCAGAACTTCCATTTTTCAGTGGTGTGTGTGGGGATGCCTTTATCTTGGGGTCTCGCGGTCCCAGGGGTCCCTGTGAGCTGGGGAGGGCAGGAGCTCATGGCCCCTCTGCCACTCCCACAGATGAGCACCGGCTCTCGGACTATTCCATCGGCCCCGAGTCCAAGCTGAATCTGGTGATCAAGCCGCTGGAGAAGGCTTCCCCCGAGGAGCCGGGGCTCAGGGGACCCCCGCCACCATTCCCGACCATCTGGCACCCGCTGGGCCAGGTCCTGACTCGGCATTTCAGCACAGCTGATGCGGAGAAGGTGCTGGAGCAGCTGCAGAAGGTAATGCCCTGGTGCGGAGGGAGCTGCAGGCTGTGTTATGCAGACAAAACTACACAGGATCGTTTTAGGGGACAAGACAAGATGTCACGTTTATTATAACACAATTTGATTTATGACCAATAACTAATATCTAATACCTATGTGTACACACACACACACACACACTGGCGGCTCACCGGTCAGGAAAGCCGGGCACAAGGAAGGGCTGGGTCTCTGTTGGGCGTGCACTGATGCCCTTCCATGTTGGCAACAGAATGTTACCCTCCAAAATCTTCCATCTCACTCATCCTTTTCGTAGGCTTTAGTCTGAATCCAGAGTCTATAGGTCTTGCTGTGTTACGCTGCCTCTGGGTTCAGTGTGATTGATCACCCGTCAACTGCAGACATGACTTTCAGACTAGGACCTGGCTTTGATGTTTCTTCAATTGTACTTCTGTTCTTTTGAGGGTGGACTCCTCTTACTTTATCAGGGCTGTTGTCTGCATCTTCAGCCTTTAGGTGTTTACACTTTATTTCATCAGGATGGGCTGGGGCTGGAGGTTGATTCCATCATCCATCCATACTTCATTCACACATCTAAACTAATCTAATAAGATTACATCAGGGTTTTGCAAAATGAAGTTTGCAGCAGGCTTTTACAAAATGGAGTGAGCATTTTAAAATGGAGTTTGAGTTACAATATGGACAAGTATAATGAATGGCAAACAGTGAACAGAAGTTACAATGTTGAAATAGTGCAAGTTTCAGTGATTTAAGCAGCAATTGGATTGAAAGTGAAACTGAATTAGCCAGTTATTGGCGTAACCGGTTTTATGAATGAATGTTGTTTCATTCATAAAACTTTGCTTATGAAGTTATATTAATAAAGTGAACAATTAAAAGCAATTTCATTGATCAGTTGTACAGCTGGGGGGATTCCTGGTTGGGTCATTGCATCCTTGAAACCCGCCTGGCATGAGGATACTGGTTATCCCGGGACCCATCACTGAGATGTGCCCCCTATGGCCTGGGGCAGGGGCTGGTTATCCGGGGACCCAGCAATGAGGGTGGGGCAGAGGGCTACAGGGATTCCAACGCCCCCCCTTCCCTTACACCCTGGGGGTCGCCTTGCTAAGCCACCCTCTCCCTCCAGGATTATGAGCGGAGCCTTCGCCTGCTGAGCCTGGATGACATTGAGCGGCTGGCCACGCGGCTGCTGCACCCAGAGGTGGCTGATGCGGTGGAGATGGGATTCCTGGACTAGCATCCAGACAGCCGTGGGCCTGGGGGAAAGACTTCGGCCTGGCCCTCCCTGCACCTGGAACAAGGCGCCTGCAGGCAGGGCCCAGTAGGGGGCTTGGGGTCCCTCTGCCCCCTCCTCACGCCTCTGAACTGCTGCTAAGGAGCCTGTCTGTGTCTCCCATTCCCCATTAAAGGTGATGGTAGGTGTGAGACCTGCCCAGTTCTGCCTGATGTGTTAACTGGGGTGGGGCAGGGGGCTGGTTATACAGAGACCCGCCTCTAGGGTGGGACAGGGGGCTGGTTATCTGGGGACACCTTGCTTGGGGCTATCTCTGGGGTGGGGGTAGGGGGCCGGTTATCCAGGCATCCCTCGTCTGGTGATGAGACATGGCCCCTCTGGGGCTGGGCAGGGACCGGTTACTCAGGGACCTCTTGCCCAGCATTGGGACATGGCTTCTCTGGTGTGGGGTATGGGGCTGGTTATGCAGGGGCCCCTTGCCTACTGACACTCCTATCTCCGTCCCCATGGGGCAGCTGTGTCCTCCAGGTCTTTGCCCACCATAGCACCCCCCGCTGAGTGTGAGAAGGAAGAAGCTGATTTTCAGCAGGGCTGATGGTGGAGGGTGAATTTGCCCTGCAGACCTTGGGGGCTGGGCTGGGGGGGGGGGGGAACATGGAGAATAGGGCTGGCATTTGGGAGGGGACTCTGACTGGGGAAGGGGGTGCTGCTGAAGGCCCCTGTGAGGGGGTTGTGACTTCCTCGGGGGAGGGGTCTGGATCCCCCATTGGGGGGTCACCTGTGTCTCAGTTGACCGGAGGTCCTGATTTTATAGGGACAGTCCCAAAATTCGGGGCTTTTTCTTACACACACCCCCTGTCCCGATTTTCCACATTTGCTGTGTGGTCACCCTGCCTGTGTCCCAGAGGAGGTTCCGGTGCAGGGGCCCTCGCACAGAAGGGAAGGTCTCTGCCCCCTGCCAGGCGTGGGAGGCTGGGGGGCTCCTAGGAAGGGGGGCTCTGGGGTACTTCCCTGCAGCGGTGGGGTGAGGGCAGTGGATGCCTGGGGCCCCTCATGGGAGGGAGGTGATGCTGGGGGGGCTCTTGGGCATGGGGGAGGGGGTGCAAGGGGGTCTCAGCTGGGGGTCGCTCCTCCTGCTGGGGAGGGCGGAGGATCCCTGCAGACGGGCCTCAGGGACGGCAAGTTCTGGGGGCGGGGCCTGGCCGCAAACTCCGCCCCCTCGCGGTACGTGGGGCGGAGCCGTGGCCGGGATGGAAGAAGCTGGAGCAGATCGGGCTAGGCTGGGCTGCCTGGGCTTGTATCCGGGGAGCTGTGGGCCTCAGAAGGGACTGGGGGGTGCAGAAGGGGCTCTGGGGGGAATCTGGGGGGTGCAGAAGGGGCTCTGGGGGCTGTGGGAGTATTTGGGGGCTCAGAAGGGACTGTGGGGAGGTCTGGGGGCTGTGAGGGGATCTGGGAGGCTCAGAAGGGGCTGTGGGGGGTCTGGGGGGTGCAGACGGGCTGTGGGGGGATCTGGGAGGCTCAGAAGGGGCTGTGGGGGGTCTGGGGGGTGCAGACGGGCTGTGGGGGGATCTGGGAGGCTCAGAAGGGGCTGTGGGGGGTCTGGGGGTGCAGAAGGCGCTCTGGGGGCTGTGAGGGGGTCCGAGGGGTGCAGAAGGGGCTGTGGGCGGATCTGGGGGGCTCAGAAGGGACTGTGGGGAGATCTAGGGGGTGCAGAAGGGGCTGTGGTGGAAAAAGGGGTCCATGGGGGTCTCCCCCATGCCCCATGGGACTGTCCATGTCTCTCTCCTGCCCCACCCAAGTTTTTTCCACTCCCTTTTTCCTTAACTTCGCTCCCCCCAGCACCTTGAGTGTCCCATTTCCATCCCCCTTGGAGGCCCAAATTGCTCATGGCTCCCTGGCCCCTGACCCTGAGCCCCGCAAGGGGGGGATCAGCAAAGAACTGACGGTGACCGAGAACTTCCTGCACGTGTGAGTGATCCCCCCCATGGAGACCAACCCCCACCACGGGCTGCAGGTCGGGAGTGAGGGGCACCGGCAGGGCTGGGGGGAGCCCAGGGCCGGGCTAGCAGGGGCTGCGGGTCCAGAGTGAGGGGCACCGGCAGAGCTGTGGGGAGCCCAGGGCCAGGCTAGCAGGGGCTGCGGGTCGGGAGTGAGGGGCACCGGCAGGGCTGGGGGGAGCCCAGGGCTGGGCTAGCAGGGGCTACGGGTCATGAGGGGCACTGGCTAAGCCGGGCTTAGGGGTGGCTCCCACCTCACCCCATCTCCTCCTACCAGGTGCTGGAAAGCAGATGAGGCCCGGGTCCTGCGTGTTTCCATCAGCTCCTTCCTGGACCATCTCTCCCTGGTGATACAGACCATGGAGATGTTTGGGCCCCCGGTACCCCGATAGCACCTGCCTTCTGGCACTCTGGGGAGCCAGGGGAGGGGCAAGAGTCTGGGAAGATGTCCTCTCAGCCCCCACTGCCTTGAAGATGCTGGAGCTGGTGCTGCTGGGGGTGCAGGCCAGGCATCAGCTGGACTGTCCTGGTTGGGGGGGAGCAGAGTTGGGGGGTGACAGAGACAGTCCCTGCATTTGGCCAGCACCTTGGACTGGTTTCAGCTCTGAGGCTAGAAGATCCTGTGGGGAGGGGGATTTGGGGGTACACTGATGGGGGGGTGTTGCTGTGGCGGGGCTGTGGGGCTCTGTGCAGGGGGCTCTGTGCAGGGGGCTCTGTATAGACCCCACCCATGTCATGCTGGACTCTGCAATAAATGCTGCAGTGGAACCCGCTGTGTCTGTCTGAATATGAGTGGGAAAAAGACCCTCCCCTCCCTGTGCTGGGATCCATCCCCGGGCTGGATCTAGACTGTTCTCAGTGATAGCAGATGACAGGACAAGGACAAGGAGTAACGGTCTCAAGTTGCAGTGGGGGAGGTTTAGGTTGGATATTAGGAAAAACTTTTTCACTAGGAGGGTGGTGAAACACTGGAATGCGTTACCTAGGGAGGTGGTGGAATCCCCTTCCTTAGAAGTTTTTAAGGTCAGGCTTGACAAAGTCCTGGCTGGGATGATTTAGTTGGGATTGGTCCTGCTCTGGGCGGGGGTTGGACTAGATGGCCTCCAGAGGTCCCTTCCAATGTTATTCTATGATCAGCCCCTTGGCGCTAGCCCCCACTGGAACCCCTCCCAGCACAGCTCCCTGGGATCCTCCCCCAGCCCCCCCCTGCCAGGAACCTCTGCAGGATACCCCTCAGGGATTGACTTTCTCCTGGGATCCCCCATATACAGCCTCCCTCCCAGGAACTCTCCCCTCCGTTTGATTAATGAGCCCTGCTGCCCCTTACGCAGCCCTCCCAGGGATCCTCCTCCCCCCCAACATTGGAGGTGGGACGCTCCCAAAGACCCACAAACAGTGTCTCCCAGAATCCACCTCTACAGCCTACACTCCCCCCCCACCCCCAGTGCCCCATTCTGGCAGGTGAAGGGTTAACAGCAGCCCAGCAGCCCAATTAGCCCATTCTGGAGAGGGGTGGAAGGCAGCTAATTAAGAATTAGCAGCAGCTGGGGAGGTGCAGGCTTGGTGGTTTGGTTCCTATACAGGAAGAGGACTAGAGTGCACTGGCTGGAAGGCAGAGACAGAGGGTTGTGGTGGGGGTGGGGGCTGGACCCCCCCCCGGGGGGGAGGTGTTCTTATGCTGCTGGAAAGCCCCCTTCCATCAGTGCGGTCTCTGTCCATACTGTGGGGTCACTCCGGTGTGGTCTGTCCCATAGACATACCCCTGCAGCCAGGGCTGTAGGGTGGCCCCCTGAGGGAGGGACAAGGAATTGGGGTGACCTAGAAACTCCCTGAGACTAAGTACTAGGAGCCCAGAGAAGGGCGGGGTCTCTGTAACGACAGCCCAAGGGAAATGGGAAAGCCCTGAGGGGCAGGAGATAGTCTGGGGAAACCCAGGGGCCCTGGGCTAGTGACCGTCTTGTTAGGTAGCTGGAAGGAAACATGCAGCCAGTGTGGGGAACCTCGGCAGAAGGCCTAGAAACAGGGGGAGGTAAATAATGCAGGGGCAGGTCCCTGCTGCAGAGTGAGTGGGATCGCAGGGTAACCTGGCCCAAGTGAGGACGGGGCGGTTTTCGTGCCGCTGAATGTCGACGGATCCAGCCAAGAGCCTTGGCTATGCTCACAGGCGCGGGGGTTGGAGGGTGAGGGGGTTTGTGGGAAGCAGACATGGGGGTGGATAAGCAGGTGCATGTGAGCCTGCAATAAATGTCTGACCCAGAGGGGAGCAACCCACTGGGGGCTGTGGTGGGGGCTCTGTCCCTGCCCACTGGCCAGCCAAGCCACTTTTCCCAGACGGCTCCCAGCTGGGGCCTCCCCAACATACGGGCCCCAAGTACAACATTTAGCCTGATTATACCCCCCCAAATTATCCCTAGCTGAGGTGAGCTGGTACCTCACTCGGGCCAGGCCTACACTACAGCGCTAGATCGGGAGAACTATGTCACTCAGGGGTGTGAAAAATGAGCGACCCCTGAGCGACGTTGTTACACCAACCTCACCCTCTCCTGCCCGTGTAGACCCTATAGACAATAGCGTAGGACCAAGAACCAGTCCCTGAAGGATCCCACTAGAAACACACCCACTTGAAGGTGAGTCCATTTGTCACACTGTGCACCCTGTCAGTGTGCAAACCGAACCAGGGAAGGAATGAGCCATCCAGCAGCCCAAATTCAGTGATGAAACCTGGTCATGTCCATCTGAGGCATACGGTGCATACGCTAAGGAATTTGCCCTGTAAAGCCATTGGAACCAATCAGTCTGGTTTTAGGGTAATTTTTTTTAATCATTCTATTTTTTTTAATCCAAATGTTGTGTGGTACCAAGTCAAAGACCTTACCGAAGTCTAAGTACATGACAGCAACATGATTACTTTAACAATCAACCTTGTAATCTCATTTTAAAAAATCAAGCTAGTGTGACTGGACCTACATTCCAGAAGCCCACGTTGACTGGCATTAATTATATTATCCTCCTTTAGTTCTTTATATAATCATGTCCCACGTCCGTTACTCCATTATTTTGCCAGGGGTTGATGTCAGGCTGACAGACCTATCATTACCGAGGTTACCATTTACCTTTTTAAAATATTGGAACATTAGCTTTCTTTCACAGTGCTGCAACTTCTTCAGACAACTCTTTCAAAACTCTTGGATGCAATTTATCCATACCACCTGATTTAAAAATGTCTAACTTTAGTAGTTGCTGTGTAACATCCCCATGAGGTACAATTGGAACTGAAAGAGTTTCATCATAGGTTATGACTGCATCAGTGCCGGAGTCCTAAAGAAATAACGCACAATTTCAACAAGAAGACCTTACCCTTGACCCAGTGGAGCCAACGTCTGCTGCAACACGACCAGGAGCTGCTGCTGCTACTGACCTTGACAGGGGTGAGGGCCCTTGGAGTGTCCGGGGGAGCTCACAGTACCAGGGGCTCGTGGCCCCACTTTTACTGGTAACACCCGAACAGTGGGTGGGGTGCTGGGGCCTGAAGAGGGGAGTGGATGGGGAAGCAGTGAGGAGGTATGAAAGAGAACATGAAAGGGCACAGAAGATTGTACCCTCCTTTGCCACCTGGATCCATCCCAGGTCTGGGGGTGTGGGCAGTGGGATGGGCCTGTGGGGCACAGGGAGCAATGTGAGGCTAGTGATAGGGGTGGTGCAGTGGGGAAGCTGGGAAAAGTCCCTTGTGAACCCCAGTTTGCAGGGATCCAGGGGGAACCATTTGCTGCAGCAGGGGGTATGGGGCTGGGTCCCATTCCAGATCCTTGGATCATGGTAACAGGAACATCTCTCTGCGGTTCCTGCCCAGGATTTATGGTTTTTGCTGTTCAACTCCCTCTAGGGGTGGGCGGGTAGTTGTTCTGCTTTGCTCCTTCACCTACACCTGCCCCCTAAGATGGATCCACTGCAAGACACCCGGGTTTATCAGAGACGAGGTGGGTCTCTTGCCGAGGTCATCTACCGTCACACAGAGAGGGACATACACCTGCCTTATGGTGCTGCATCACCATGGTCAGAAGTACCAGAATGGCCTCCTGGCTCATTTTGACATGAGGTGACCCCTGGACTGCATCATCTGCTTTTCTTTTCCCAAATACAGAACCTTCTCTGCATTAGTACTGAGAGTTCTATCATTTCTATCTAGTAATGGAGCAATACCATTGTTAAGATTTTCTTTGTTCCTAATATGAGTTTTAAAAAATCATCTTCATGTTGTCCTTAACTGTGCTGGGCATAGATTTTTTTCCTTATGCCCTTTTGCTTCCCTTATCAATTTTCTACATTTCCTAGGTTCTGGTTTATATTAATCTTTCCTGTTCTTCCACTCATTTTTTTTAAACTCTTTCCTCTCAGATCAGACCCACAACCTCCACCTCTAGCTGAGGGAGGTCCAGTTCTTGAGGCACCAGGGACCACGCTGCAACCCAGATCCTCTTGCCTAGTTATGATCCTTGCATTTCAGCCAGAGCTGACCCCTGAAAGGTGTTGCAATGCTGTGCTGCCGTGACTGGAACATTGCTCTGTGCTGGGGAAATTTTCCATCCTTTATTCTGACATACAAAAGTGTAGCTACCAAAATCTCTCCCCGCCCACCCCATGCATCATCCAACACACCTTGATCTTCTGGGGCACACCCCAGAGTTGCTCTCAGGTAGCCTGCCCATCTCCCCTTGGGCTAGGAGCCTGATCTCCCCCCACACCCCAGGCATACTCTTCTCCCAGGGACTAGAACCCCTGTGTGAAGCCCCTGAGAGAAGAAGGGATCTATCTACTGGGGAGAGCAGGGGCTGTTGACTCAGTGCAATGCCTCATTTACATATTAACTGTGGATAATTTGGGGACAGTGGGGTATGATTTTGGCTAATTTTTGTAGTTAGGGCCCCCTGGCCGAGACCTGGACCCTGACTAGGCACGCGAGTCATGCTGACGAAGACGACTGGTTGCTAAAGTCAGGGCAGGTACCCCAGCCAGAACGGAAGTTTAAGGGGGGAAAAAATTGTGTGTGTCCAGGTTGTTGCGGGGTGCATTTCCCTAGGTGTCAGGGCTGGCATGTAAGGCCATTAACGCCATCACTTTCTTTTTCCAAGGGCTGGGCCAAGAAAAACAGCGCCGCTGAACTGGTTCCTGGCTGAGAAGTAGAGCCTGGATGCAGCAAAACACAAGATCTCTTCCCTGCTGAGAAGCAGCCTCTGCAGCTGGAGCAGAGCAGCAGCCCAGGTCTCCAGGAAGAGCTGCCAGTGGTGGAGCAAGTACCAGTCGTGGGTGAGATCTACGCTCCGCAACTACCACCTGTGCGCCAAGGGACAGAACAAAATGGCAGCGTGGCCTGCTAACTGTGGCCTGTGACGGGGAGCCAGGCTGGTGCCCACACTGCATTAGCCACTTAGTGCACCCATCACTTCCCTTCCTCCTTGAAATTCTTTAGGCTGTAGGTGTCACCCCAGGTAACAGTCCAAGCCAGGTCTTTGCACAAACAGGTTTTATTCCATAACACCAACCCACCCTTGGAGTGGCTCAGATACACAGGCAGCAAAGAACAGGGGGAGGATGTGTGCGGAGTCTCTGCCACTGTCCCTGTCTCTCTACCCCCTCGCCCCCCGAAGCTTCTCAGGACACACACCCACAGGTCAAGCAGGGGTGTATGTGACACCGAGTAAATCAGGCTCTGGGCAGGTAGAGGTGTCTCCCTGGAGTCACGCTGGGAGAGCAGGGCCCAGGGCTTGTTTGTAGGCACAGCCTCCCCTCACCACAGTTGCGTCTCCCGGATTTCAGAAATGGTCTGGCTGGCTCGCTGCAAGGCCTGACGGGAGACAGAAGACATTAGGATAGGCAGGGGGCAGAGAGACCGCCCCCAAACACAGTTCTCCCCTCACCTGGAGCAGCCCAGCAGCCTCCTTGCGCTGCTGTGCCATGTCCTCGGACTCTGTGAGCAGCATGTCCAGCAGCTGCTGCTTGTATAGCTGCCCAACCAGCTGGCTCTGCAGATGGTCCTTGACATAGTTCACCAGGAAATGCATGACCGTCTTGGGGACGCTGTGGGGTAGGGGCAAAGGTCACAAGGGCACCCATCTAGAGCCCTTCCAACTCCCCGTGGCCCTTAGGGGTCTAGGAGAGGGGCTGCAGCCTCGCCCCCGTTCCCCCCATGTCTTACCTGTCCTGTATGCTTTTGCGCACAATGAGGAAATAGGATTTGATGAGTCTGCGGATCACCTCGCAATCCCGCTGCTCCCGCTGGCTCAGCTTCCGTGTGGCCGGCATGGGCTGTGGGGAGAGAGACAGGGCACGGGACTTCAAGGGAAATGGGGGTCCCGCCCCGCAGGGCCTTCCCCCAGGGATAACAGTAGTAAGGTTATAAAACCAGGCAATCTCCAGTAGCACAATGCTGGGATCACACACAAAGGTCAGAAAATTCTCCAACAAAGAGATGGGTTGAAGCTGAAGCTAGAAACATTGAGACTGGAAATAAGGCAAAAATCGTTAAGAGTGAAAGAACAGATTGTGGTGGCCAGTTTTTCCCTAAGAATGACTTTGGGGCAGTTCTCTGGCCTGTGGGTGTTTGGGGGGTGGGGGGAAGGGGTGTCAGACTAGATGATCAAAATTGTCCCCGCTGGCCTTGGCAGCGAAGCAGCTCTGAAAAGGCGTAAAGGGAGCTGGAGCAGCAAGATTGGCCCAGACACAGGTCTCCTGCTGTCACTACCCCACCATCACCTGCCTGTGTGGGGAGGGGGGGAACTCACCGTGTCCAGCAGATTGACAGCATGGGAGCGACTGGGGCTGGAATACATGGGGGGCTGGGGGTTCCCCTTGGGCTTCTCCTCCATGCCAGCATCCTCCACTTTGTCACTCTTCCAGCGCCGGATCCCCTCCGCAGGGGGGTCACTCTGGGGAGAGCAGAGACCAGCTGGCCATCAGCATGTCATGTGGGGAGGTGGGGGGCGACACTGCTGCCCACTGGGGCGGAAGAGGCTCAGCAGTAGGACATGGGGCAGGGGAGCAGAGAGACATTACCTTGCTGCTGCTGACAGAGGCAGACACCAGCGCTGTGTCAATGAAGTCCGGGTGCTTGGTGTTGATATAGGCGAGCTCGATTGCAACCAGATTATGAACCTGCAGGGGAGAGGGATGGGATGGAGCCCGGTGAGGGAGCCCAGGAATTTGGGCTCCCTGCACTGGGGCCCAGAATAGTGGATTAAAAACAAAAAACCCTATGAGCTTCAAAAACAACACAAAAAAGTATTTAATTTAAACTCAGTAAATGCGATTTTTATTGTGAAGCTGTTTAAAATAATACTGAGAGTATTGTGAGCTTAGCCCTTAACACAGGTCGCCAGAATGGTAACAGATTTTAATCAAAAGCAGTACACGTTTGCTGCTGACATCTTAAAGAATATCAAACCGCGGAAGGCACTGGCTCAGCCCTGGGAACCAGAGTTTGTGGAAGGTTAAAGCAGGTTTCGATAGCAGAGAGAATACTTCCTTCATTTCAGTTTGTTCAAAGTTCAAAACCCAACCAGGAGTTGGACAACCTGGAATCCTTGTAAAATCTCAGACTAGAAGACGGAAACAACTAGTAGATCTCGTGCTCTTACACTTAGCTTTCATTCAAAGGACATGGTGAAAGGCCTATGTTGAATATATCAGTTAGTTTTAAATGCAAAACATGTTTTGATTTACATTTGTTCTTATGGACCAGCACATTTAAGGTAATTTAATTTTCTTACTTGTAATTTGTGTCCAACTCTATTTGGATGGAAACTAGAATTCCATTAAAAATGCCCAGAAACAGTATTTCATGGTTTTTATTAATTATCTAGTAAATAAAAATGCATCATTCACGATTTTCTAACATCATAAAATTAAACTCTGAATAAATGTGTAGGTCCAACTACAGAGTGGTTTAAATAAATCTGTACAGATCTGGCACACCCGCCTGCACCGCAGACGGACGCTTCTTGTAAAGACCATAGTCAGTTGTAAAGTAACATGGTTTAATGGTTATCAGCCAGTGAGAATCCACCTTTTAAGTTATCTTCCTAAAAAGTACAAATGCAAAATATGATTAAAGTTGGTTTTTTAAAGTGCATTTTCCCACTTGCTGATTTAAATCAATCCACCCTGGGACGCAGACTTCAACCCGCACACCCATATCAGCCCATACCCTGCTGTCATCCCAGATGTCCCATAGCAGCCCCCTCCCCTGGGGTGTTACCATCTCGTTCGTGATGGGCAGCCTCTGCCGCAGGACGCCTGTCACCACCTCCACAATCGCCTCATGCAGTTTGGGGAAGCGCAGCAGCTCCTGGGGTGGAGGAAGGGAAAAGAGGAAAGACCTTGGAAACGTTGAAACTTGAACAGATGGCTACTGAGATGTGCCAGACACCATGGGCCCACGACTTAGCCAGAGACTGCTCCAGCTGGGTCTGATCACTGCAGGCCAGAGGTCTGCTTGGGCCCACGTTTAAAGCCTCATCTGGCCCTAAACCCAACACTTCCCCCTGGAAAGTGGCAGTGCTTTTCACAGCCGACACTCATAGTTGGGTCCTGGTGGATTTGGGTCCCGTTGCAGGGCTCTGTGGCAGGTAAAAGTACCACCTTGTCCAACCTCCCCAGCCAGGGGAGAACAGATAGTTTAATACCCCTCCCCGCAAAAAATAAGCAGTTACATCACCTGATTGCATGCTGTGTTATTTAACTGTCAGAGCCCATGGGGGTCAGGGAATCCAACCCCAGTTGTGCAGCATCCAGGTTACAGGGCAGGGGTCGGGTCACAGGACCTCACTGGTCCAGGTGCACCCCTAAACCATCACACACATCCCAGGGGGATTGCACAGACTGGGTCAGAGCAGGCTTGAGAGGCCCAGGAGACAGAGAAGGGGCTTTGGTATCAAGAGTGAGTGTAACCCAGAAACAGACACAAGACCGTAACCAGGGGGCAAAGCAAGCAGGCAGGGTGTGAGGCCCTGGGGGGGCTTAGGGAGAAGATGCGGGACACCAGGGGCACAGCAGGTCTGGCGACAGGGGATGGTTTCACGCTGTGTTTTCACTGTAATGCTTTTATCTGAGATGAACGCACTGCGCGCCAGGGAAGCTAGCTGGGCTCTGTTAGTCCCGGCAGAGCTTGGAGAAAACACGGGACAACGCACAGGCACTGGCCTAAGGTCAGACACCCCCATGGGGGGCACCTGAGTGTTACTGGTGGAAGGTGGAGCAGGGCTGGATGATGGGGGGCGGTGGAGATCCCCGAGGTGGGGGTGGGGGGTCCCAGGCACCTGCGTGTTGTAGGTGGAATGGGGCTGGATGATGGGGGGTGGGAGTCCCTGGGGTGGGAGTCCCAGGTACCTGCGTGTTGTAGGTGGAGCAGTGCTGAATGATGCGCTGCAGCTCCTCGTGCACCAGCTCCACGCAGCGCAGACTTGGGTCCTCCAGACGCTTGATCTGACGTTTCACCAGCAGCTCGAAAGAGACCTCAGGCACGAAGAGGGCGGGACGGGGGCCCTGGGGAGGGAGGCAGGGACCTCATCAGAGCAGTGCCTTCTCCAGTGGGGATAGAGAGACACCCACCTCCCCCCCGCAAGTCACCACCCAGCCTCATCCCATTCTCCACTCCCCTGGGGCACAGAAAGCCAGGAGGGGGCTAGTCAGGACACAAGGGCATGGCGGTCCCAGGCAGCCGCAGTGAGATGGGACTGAGGATGTTGTGGGGTGGGTACCCCCAGCCCCAGGGGCACATCCCACTCCAGGGCACTGGGAGAGGGGGCATATACACACACTCACCCCGCACTCCATTACGGTCTCTTACCCCTGTCATGGCTCGGTACCATCCCCAACATGGTATGTATGCGGGGGTGGGAGGAGGAGGAGAATAGGGAAGAGGTCCATACCATGTAGAGTCAGGCGGTGTTACCGTACCATGCAGGGCTGGGGGTGTTACGAATTATACCCGACAGGTCACGAACACGAACTGCTGCGAATTACACCCGACAGGTCACGCACACGAACTGCTGCGAATTACACCCGACAGGTCACACACAGTTCGAGTCTAGGCTGAGGCACACGAACAAAGTCCACAACGGCAGAGTTCCCAAAGATACTAAGTTTATTACGCTCGAGCGTGGTGCCCCCCTGCTAATTAGGAGGGGACCCCGAATGCAGGTTATACAGAGATTATAGACCTTTTAGCAAAGCATGTTGCCCTTGTGCATCGGAAACCTTAGCCAATAGACAAACCCTTCCCTTATCTACCACCTATCCCTGCTAAGTGCATTCCTCGTGCTAAACCATTACTTCAACTACACAACATGGTCCTAAAGCAATGCACTAGTAGCCTTTCTTTTCAGGATGGGAGGCCAACATTAAGGCCAGGAGGCAAAAAGTTAAAAACAGACAAAGAACAGAAACCGGGAGTCGAGACAGGCTGGAAACAAGGGCGGGGGGGGCGGTTCACAGAAATGCAATATCTAAGGAACATTCCTCCTGGTGCATGATGTGTTTGCTTTTAGACAATGGTGGGCCCCAAACCAAAATGGAGTCACATATGCACATATGCTAACTTTTCCTTAACAGGGGGCATGGTAAGGGAAACCATGGGGGGTTGTAAGGGGGCTGGCAGCCACAGTGGCAGGGGTGCTTGGGCTCCGGCAGGGGAAAGGGGACAGAAGGGGCAGGGTGGTGCAGGCCAAGCCGGCGGCTAGGTGGGGGAGTTGCTGTATGTAAGAGAGCAGTATGACTCCTCAGAGATCCGATGAAACTGCAGAAAAACCTGAGAGTCTCTGGATTAAGTTTAGAAGCGTGAGCACCAAGGGTGATGTCGTGATGGGAGTCTACTATAGACCACCGGACCAGGGGGATGAGGTGGACAAGGCTTTCTTCCGGCAACTCGCAGAAGCTACTAGATCGCACGCCCTGGTTCTCATGGGAGACTTCAATCACCCTGATATCTGCTGGGAAAGCAATACAGAGGTGCACAGATAATCCAGGAAGTTTCTGGAAAATGTAGGGGATAATTTCCTGGTGCAAGTGCTGGAGGAACCAACTAGGGGCAGAGCTCTTCTTGACCTGCTGCTCACAAACCGGGAAGAATTAGTAGGGGAAGCAAAAGTGGATGGGAATCTGGGAGGCAGTGACCATGAGATGGTCGAGTTCAGGATCCTGACACAAGGAGGAAAGGAAAGCAGCAGAATATGGACCCTGGACTTCAGAAAAGCAGACTTTGACTCCCTCAGGGAACTGATGGGCAAGATCCCCTGGGAGAATAACATGAGGGGGAAAGGAGTCTAGGAGAGCTAGCTGTATTTTAAAGAATCCTTATTGAGGTTACAGGGGCAAACCATCCTGATGTGTAGAAAGAATAGTAAATATGGCAGGCGGCCAGCTTGGCTTAACAGTGAAATCCTTGCTGATCTTAAACACAAAAAAGAAGCTTACAAGAAGTGGAAGATTGGACAAATGACCAGGGATGAGTATAAAAATATTGCTTGGGCATGCAGGAGTGAAATCAGGAAGGCCAAATCACACCTGGAGTTGCAGCTAGCAAGAGATGTTAAGAGTAACAAGAAGGGTTTCTTCAGGTATGTTGGCAACAAGAAGAAAGTCAAGGAAAGTGTCGGCCCCTTACTGAATGAGGGAGGCAACCTAATGACGGAGGATGTGGAAAAAGCTAATGTACTCAATGCTTTTTTTGCCTCTGTCTTCACGAACAGGGTCAGCTCCCAGACTACTGCACTGGGCAGCACGGCATGGGGAGGAGGTGACCAGCCCTCTGTGGAGAAAGAAGTGGTTCGGGACTATTTAGAAAAGCTGGACATACACAAGTCCATGGGGCCGGATGCGCTGCATCCGAGAGTGCTAAAGGAGTTGGCAGATGTGATTGCAGAGCCATTGGCCATTATCTTTGAAAACTCATGGTGATCCGGGGAAGTCCCAGACGACTGGAAAAAGGCTAATGTAGTGCCCATCTTTAAAAAAAGGGAAGAAGGAGGATCCTGGGAACTACAGGCCAGTCAGCCTCACCTCAGTCCCCGGAAAAATCATGGAGCAGGTCCTCAAGGAATCAATTCTGAAGCACTTAGATGAGAGGAAAGTGATCAGGAACAGTCAGCATGGATTCACCAAGGGCAAGTCATGCCTGACTAATCTGATTGCCTTCTATGATGAGATAACTGGTTCTGTGGATGAAGAGAAAGCAGTGGACGTGGTGTTCCTTGACTTTAGCAAAGCTTTTGACACTGTCTCCCACGATATTCTTGTCAGCAAGTTAAAGAAGTATGGGCTGGATGAATGCACTATAAGGTGGGTAGAAAATTGGCTAGATTGTCGGGCACAATGGGTAGTGATCAATGGCTCCATGTCTAGTTGGCAGCCAGTATCAAGAGGAGTGCTCCAAGGGTCAGTCCTGGGGCCGGTTTTGTTCAATATCTTCATGAATGATCTGGAGGATGGTGTGGATTGCACCCTCAGCAAGTTTGCAGACGACACTAAACTGGGATGAGTGTTAGATACGTTGGAGGGTACGGATAGGATACAGAGGGACCTAGACAAATTGGAGGATTGGGCCAAAAGAAATCTGATGAGGTTCAACAAGGACAAGTGCAGAGTCCTGCACTTAGGACGGAAGAATCCAATGCACTGCTACAGACTAGGGACCGAATGGCTAGGCAGCAGTTCTGCGGAAAAGGACCTAGGGGTGACAGTGGACGAGAAGCTGGATATGAGTCAGCAGTGTGCCCTTGTAGCCAAGAAAGCCAATGGCATTTTGGGATGTATAAGTAGGGGCATTGCCAGCAGATCGAGGGACGTGATCGTTCCCCTCTATTCGAGATTGGTGAGGCCTCATCGGGAGTACTGTGTCCAGTTTTGGGCCCCACACTACAAGAAGGATGTGGAAAAATTGGAGAGAGTCCAGCGGAGGGCAACAAAAATGATTAGGGGACTGGAACACATGACTTACGAGGGGAGGTTGAGGGAACTGGGATTGTTTAGTCTACAGAAGAGAAGAATGAGGGGAGATTTGATAGCTGCTTTCAACTACCTGAAAGGGGTTCCAAAGAGGATGGATCTAGACTATTCTCAGTGGTAGCAGATGACAGAACGAGGAGTAATGGTCTCAAGTTGCAGTGGGGGAGATTTAGGTTGGATATTAGGAAAAACTTTTTCACTAGGAGGAGGGTGAAACACTGGAATGCGTTACCTAGGGAGGTGGTGGAATCGCCTTCCTTAGAAGTTTTTAAGGTCAGGCTTAACAAAGCCCTGGCTGGGATGATTTAATTGGGGATCGGTCCTGCTTTGAGCAGGGGGTTGGACTAGATGACCTCCTGAGGTCCCTTCCAACCCTGATATTCTATGATTCTGCAGCTAGCTGTTTACACGCCGCCCATGGCTTTGCCGTCTCCTCTGTATCATTAACGACAGTTTACGAGGCAAGCGGATGGTGTTTGCCATGGTGCTGGGTGGGCCGAGGTCTCTGGGTACCAAACCCTGCAGCTCGCTTAGCACTGTTTAATGTTAGATAGTGACTGGGCCATGGGAACATCTGTGGCACATTTATTCCATCTAAATTAATAGAACAGGGGCCGGTGGAGGGGGCACTGCCCTGGGGAGCCCTGGGGGGGGGGGGAGGGTACCATACCGTGGCATTGCGAATGGCCGTCAGGATGTCCAGCATCGTGAGCCCAGCCAGCGGGTCGATGGACTCCAACGTCCGGCCGAATGTCTCGTGGAAGATGTAGCACATGCGGGCGCCCCCGCAGCTGGGAGGGGGGGTGGGGGGAAGAGACACTGAAGGGTTGGGAGAGGGCACAGAAACAGTAGCCAAAGCACAGGCCCCCCTAAAATGTCCACACCGCCCTGCCTCTCAGCACTGCCCCCCCTCATGCCCCCTGACCTCTCAGCTCCCAGGTATCTGCGCTGCAGTTCCTGCCCTCAAGGGGGCAGGCCCGCTGCCCCCCAACCCCCAGCACTCACAGCTCTGAGGTCTCGATGTTCCGGGCCGTGCCCTCAATGGTGTGGCAGTACTCGGTGGCGAACTTGGTGATGATCTGCAGCAGCGTGGCATTCTTGTCCTCAATGGGCTGCCCATAGCTCTGCAGCACCGACTGGTACTGGGCCGTCAGCACATTCACCCGGGTTTTCAGCTCCGGCAGGCAGTCCCGGATGTGGTGCATCAGCAACCTGGGGCAGGGGCACAGAAATGAGCCCAACTACCCTGGCCTCCTGCCTGCTGAATTTCTGGGGGATCATTCTGGCCCCCAGCCCTGACAGCCAGGGCTCAGCTCCTCCGCTGGGGTGACTCCAGGGCCTCCTGCCACCATGTGCGACCCTGCTCCTCCAGCTGCCCCCCATCCATGCTCCTGGCCACACTCTACCGGCACTGAATTCTGCAGAAGAATGCCCGGTATGACACTCACCCACACACCCTTTCTGGTCAGCTGTAAATGGGCTCACTTCTATTCCGTCTGCTGGGGTGGCATGCACCCCCTCCGCCCTTTTCCTTCTCTGCAACAGATCCCTTAACTGCACCCTCCACAGCCCTAGTCCTCTGGCCCTGATTCCCCACCAGTGCCCCTCGCTAGGGAGAGCAGAGCCCCAGCTGCGCAGGTCCTAGCCGGCACCTCCCTTCCCCAGCTGGTACCCACCGGTTGAGGGTCTTGGCCAGGTGACGGGTGCCGTTGCGGTTGGCCAGCGATGGGTAACGCTTCTGCAGGAAGCCCTGCTCATCCTGCAGCGACTCCACAATGCGCTTCCCGCTGTTGATGTCATGCTGGCTCCTGTGAGGGGCAGGACAAAGTCATTGTCTGTCCCCACTCCCCCTCCATTCCAGGCTGGGGGGAGGGGGGAAATGTTGGGTTTGCTGCCTCCCTGCAACCCCTCCATTCCCCCAAACTCCAGCACAGCACCCCCATCCCATCTCTAGACTTTCTCCACAGCCCTCCACCCTCCAATGCACACATCTCCAAACTCCAGTCAAGCCCTGCCCCTCTCACCAGCCCCCCCACCTTCCCACATGCACAGCCCTACATCTCCACAGCTCCTCCACCCCCTTTATGCAGCCCCCCCCAGACTCCGCCACCCTACTGCCCACCTGTTCACCACCCCAATGATGCCCAGTTTGACAGGGATGACCCGGCCCATCAGGACGTCCATGGCATCAGTCCCAGCGTCCATCAGGTCCAGCTTGGTGACCACGGCCAGTGTGCGGCGTCCTGCAGGAGGGGAGGGGGTAGGGATGATCAGGCAGGCCCAGGCTACACTTACCCACCTAGTGATGTGGGTCAGGGTATGAAACCCCCCACGGCGACCTAACCCCCAGGGCAGCAGACCAGTGCTTCCGGCGCCGGGGTAGGTGACATTACTGCAGCACCAGGAAAGCCCCTCCATTGGGTACCCATGTCTGGGCCGGCATGGCCACTGGAGCCCCTGCAGCGCTGCAGGCAGACCCCCAGGAGGTTTTGGAGCAGCAGGGCTGGTGGTCCAGCCGACACAGACTCTGACCTAAGCTTGGCTTTTCCTCTCTAGCCTGAACCCTCTGATCCCAGACTGCAGGAGACCAACAAACACCAGCGGGTTTTGCAAAAGCTGCTCCCAGTCTCTCCTGGTCCCTGCTGGCTGCAGCACTCCCATGAGGGGTGAAGTCTCTGCCAGGGACACAAACTTCCTTGGACTGGTGGAGAGCCACAGAGAGGAACGGGAGTGGAAGCGGGGGCTGGAGCCCAAGGGAGTTATGGGCAGCGATGAGCTGCCAAAATCTTAACAGGTTCCCTCCTCACCCTACAAGGGGGTAGTTGCCCACCCCTGCCCCCCGGGACTCCTGCCCCATCCAACCCCCCTGTGTTCCTTGACGGCCCCCCCCCTCAGGACCCCTGCCCCATCCACCCCCCTCCCCTGTCCCCTGACTGCCCCCAGAACTGGGCAAGAGGGTCTTGTGAGCCACCGTCGTGCGTGCCCACCCCATTCCTTAAGAGCCAGAGGCACATGCCGGGAGGCGAGGTGGGGAGTCCCGGCGGTGCTTACCTGGGGCAGCTCCCAGGAAGCATCTGGCAGGTCCCTCTGGCTCCTGGGGCGGGGGAGCGTAGCTAGGGGGGGAACAGGGGTCCTTAGGCGCCAACTCCCTGGGTGCTCCGGGGCTGGAGCACCCACGGGGAAAATTGGTGGGTGCAGAGCATCCACCGGCAGCTCTTCACTCCGTACCCGGCCCCAGCTCACCTCACCTCCGCCTCTGAATGCACCGCCCCACTCGGCTTCTCCCCCCCCCAGCTTCCCGCGAATCAGCTGTTCGGCAGGAAGCCTGGGAGGGCTGAGAAGCAGGTCGCGGCTTCCCACTCAGGCCGAGGGTGGCGGAGGTGAGCTGGGGCGGGGAGCGGTTCCCCTGCATGCCTTCCCCCCCCCGGGGTTACCTGCTGCGGCGCAGGCGGCCCTCCTCGCGTGCCCCCCGGCCCGAACTCACCTCTGCCTCCCTGGGCCTGAGCAGGAAGCCACCACTTGCTTCTCAGCCTGCCCTAGCTTCCCGTGCGAACAGCTGATTCACGGGAAGCCTAGGGGGGCAGAGAAGCAGAGCAGGGCGGCACGTTCAGGGGAGGAGGTGGAGGGGAGGTGAGCTGGGGCCGGAGTGGGGAGCTGCCGGTGGGTGCAATTTTCCCCTTGGGTGTTCCAGGGCTGGCACACCCATGGAGTCGACACCTAAGGCGCCACTTTTGGCCAGTTAAATTTAGAAGCCCTTTTAGAACCAGTTGTGCCTCGCGGAACAACTGGTTCTAAAAGGGCTTCTAAATTTAACAACCGGTTCTTGTGAACCGGTGCGAACCGGCTCCAGCTCACCACTGGTTATGGGGGAACAAAGCCAGAGCCTCATACATTAAGGGGGGGGGGCACTCCCTAAAGAGAGTCTGTGAAGGCTGCAGCACCAAACACCCAGTAAATCCACTGCATCCCCCTCACCATGCCCCTCATCCACTCCCCCCATGCAGGGCTCACAGCCCCCCAGCTCTCAGCCCTACCCACACCCGGGGTCCCCTGGGGGAGCCCCCCACATTGGTACCGTCAGGGTCAACATCCCGGGCCAGCTTGAGTGCCTCAGAGGTGGCCATGTCCGTGTTGGCAGCCGTCACAGCCAGGATCAGGCAGTTTGGGTTGGAGACGTAGGATAGGATCATCTCCCGCACCTGGCCCTCAATGTCGGGGGGCTGGTCCCCCACAGGCACCTGGGGAGGGGAGAGAAGAGTGAGTGCAGGCTCCTGCCAGACAAGATACAGGAAAGTCCGGACTGCTGGGTTTTCTCCCCAGCTCTGGGATGGGAGCAGGGTCTGGTGGTTAGAGCAGGGGGACTGGGAGCTAGGACTCATAGTTACAGACACCAGCTGGCTGAGGGTCTGTGGTTGGGAAGATCTCTCAGTGAAAACAGGAATAAGACGGACTATGGAAATATCCCCCGAGCTGCAGCTTTGACAGACACCCACAGTGGGGCATTACCCCTTCCCACTCTATCCAAGGGCCCCTCCCCATCCCATTCCCCAACATCATGGGGCACCCGCCTCACACCTTGGTGATCCCTGGTAGGTCGACCAGCGTTAGGTTCAGGACATGTGGGGAGTAGATCTTCAGATACAGGGGCTCCAGGCTGATCCCCTGCAGGGCAATAACCAGCAGAGTTAGAGCAGAGGGGGCTGGGAGCCAAGACTCCTGGGTTCTCTCCCCAGCTCTGGGAGGGGAAGTGGGGTCTGGTGGGTTAGAATAGGGGAGACTGGGATCAGGACTCCTGGGTTCACACACACACATTGGGGAGGTCGATGTCACAGGTGTTCATTACCTTGTTGGTTCCTGTCGTCCTCTCAGTCTCAGTCTCGATCTCCTGCCGGATCTCATCAAAGTCGGTGAAGCTCTGAGAGGGGACAGAGAGACAGGGTTGGCCCCGAGACAGGCTCCACAGCCCCTGGTGGTACTTCCTTCTGCCCAGCTGCTGGCAATACATGGAGAGGGGGCATGCAACGACCCACAGCCAGGATGGGAAAGGGAGGCTGTCCCCCCACCCCCCAACAAAGGACAGGGATGGGCACTGGGAATATCACCCACATTACCCCTTGCCAGACAGGTCAGGGAGGGGCATCCCCCACCCAACCCGATTACCATCATTTCTCCCCCAAGACCCAGACAGGGGCTGAGGGGGCCACCCCCAGATCCCAAGCAGGGCCCCTACCTTATGCTTGCAATGCAGGAATGTCGCCCACTCCTCAGCCTGGGTACCTGCAGGGAGAGCCGATTCGGGGTCACACTCAGCCTCCCAGGGTGCGGACAGGGCTTCAGGGGCTTGCGCAGCCCCACTCCAAGCAGCTCTGTTTGGGACCCTGGCTCCTCACAGGAACCACTGGCTGCAACCCACAGACATGGGCTCCCCAGCAATAGGGAGAGAGGGGGTCACAGTGAGCCAGACTCCTCAGGATGTCACCACCTCAGCCCTTGGGGTCTCTATCCTCAACGTGAGTGTGAGAGAGAGTGTGAGTGTGAGAGACAGAGAGAGAGAGTGTCAAGGCGGCCTCCCAGTGAATGGTACTGCAGAGCAAGGGAGAGAACCCAGAAGTCCTGTCTTCCAGCTCCCCACCCCCACTCTAACCACTAGACCCCACCCCCCTCCCAGAGCTGGGTTACAACCAAGGAGTCCTGGCCTCCCACAACCTTCTGCCTCCTGTCCCTTCAGCCCAGAGAGAGCCCATCCTGGCTCCCAGCACCCCCTTACTTGTCTCCCCACTGGCTGCACGTTGCCGCTCCTCCAGCGATGGCACATTCACCAGCTGCAGGACCAGTGGCCGCCGGGTGACAATGCCTGAGCCCCGGGGCAGGAAATCACGACCCACAATACTCTCCAGAACCGAGCTCTTTCCACTGCTCTGTGTGTGGGGTGGGGGAGAGGAGACGGGGTTAATGCTGGAGAGGAGAGGAAGGTGAGGGGCAGACAGACAGGGTGGGGAGAGGGAGAAGAGGAGCCTGGGGCTTCAGAGATTAGAGGATGTTGGGTGGGGGGGTCTCACCTGGACCCCAATGGGGCAGCTGAATCTCCCCAGGGAGGGAAGGGTGGGACTGGCGGGGAGAGGTCAGGGGGTCTCACCTGGGCCCTGATCACCACATAAGAACAGTCATACTGGGTCAGACCAAAGGTCCATCCAGTCCAGTATCCTGTCTATCAACAGTGGCCAATGCCAGGTGCCCGAGAGGGAGTGAACCTAACAGGTAATGATCTAGTGATCTCTCTCCTGCCATCCATCTCCACCCTCTGACAAACAGAGGCTAGGAACACCATTCCTTACCCATCCTGGCTAACAGTCATTAATGGACTTAACCTCCATGAATTTATCCAGTGCTCTTTTAAACCCTGTTATAGTCCTAGCCTTCACAACCTCCTCAGGCAAGGAGTTCCACAGTTTGACTGTGCGCTGAGTGAAGAACTTCCTTTTATTTGTTTTAAACCTGCTGCCCATCAATTTCATTTGGTGGCCCCTAGTTCTTATATTATGGGAACAAGTAAATAACTTTTCCTTATTCACTTTCTCCACACCACTCATGATTTTATAGACCTCTATCATATCCCCCTTAGCCTCTTTAATCTCTCCCCATATGGGGTCCATTCCAAAACCCTAATCATTTTAGTTGCCCGTTTCTGAACCTTTTCTAATGACAGTATATCTTTTTTGAGATGAGGGGACCACCCCGTATGCAATATTCAAGATGTGGTCGTACCATTGATATATATAAGGGCAATAAGATATCCTCCATCCTATTCTCTATCCCTTTTTAATGATTCCTAACATCCCGTTTGCTTTTTTGACTGCTGCTGCACACTGCGTGGACATCTTCAGAGGACTATCCACGATGACTCCAAGATCTTTCTCCTGATTAGCTGTAGCTAAATTAGCCCCCATCATGTTGTATGTATAGGTGAGCTTATTTTTTCCAATGTGCATTACTTGACATTTATCCACATTACATTTCATTTGCCATTTTGTTGCCCAGTCACTTAGTTTCGTGGGATCTTCTTGAAGTTCTTCACAGTCTGCTTTGGTCTTAACCACGATGTGGGGCAGCTGGATCCCTCGGGGAGGGAAGGGTGGGACTGGAAGGGGGCCGGGGTCCGCGGGTCTCACCTGGGCCCCGATCACCACGATCTGGGGCAGCTGGATCACCTCGGCCCCCACCGTGTTGAAAATCTCCTGCAGTTTGTTGACAACGGGGATCAGCGTCTCCATGGCAGGGCCGGGTCCGGGGCTCCGCCCTACAAGGGGACATGGGGCAGCCCCTCAGATCAGCCGGGAGCCCGCGCAGCCCCACAGCCAGAAACGGAACCCAGGCGTCCGGGCTCCCCCCGCCGCTCACAGAGCGGACCCAGGCGTCCGGTCCGGGCTCCCCCCGCCTCCCACAGACACGGAGCGGACCCAGGCGTCCGGGGACGGTTCACCTGCTCTCAGCCCCGACTCCAGCCCCATTCGCTCCCCAACCCGGACGCACTGCCCTACTCCGCCCCTCTCCGCTCCCTATTGGTCTGCGACCCCAGAAGTCCCATTCCTATTGGTAGAGGGGCCATCAATCACTTCCCATCGCCCTTCCTCCAATCCCATAGCAGGAGAGTGGCTCGGCGCGAGGGCAGAGGCTGGAGGGTCATTGGCTGGTTCTCGCACCAATCAGCGGGGCCATGGTCTGCGTGGCGGCCATGTTTGAAAGGGGCAACCTGAGGGCAGCGTAAACTAGAGTAGAGTAAAGTAGAGTAGGGGCGTTAGGGGACGAGAGCTGAGGAAGCGTTGTCCTAAATCAGCCATAAAAATGTTGGCATACTGTGGGGCCATGCGGGTACCCATAAGTGTACCAAAGTCACAAAGTTCAGCCACCAGGTTAGCCGTGACATTATCAGGGATAGTGTTCTTGACGGCTTGTCACGGCTAACCTGGTGGCTGAACTTTGTGACTTTGTCCTTACCCATAACTATTTCACATTTGGGGACAATGTATACCTTCAGATCAGCGGTACTGCTATGGGTACTCGCATGGCCCCACAGTATGCCAACATTTTTATGGCTGATTTAGAACAACGCTTCCTCAGCTCTCGTCCCCTAACGCCCCTACTCTACTCGCGCTATATTGATGACATCTTCATCATCTGGACCCATGGAAAAGAAGCCCTTGAGGAATTCCACCATGATTTCAACAATTTCCATCCCACCGTCAACCTCAGCCTGGTCCAGTCCACACAAGAGATCCACTTCCTGGACACTACAGTGCTAATAAACAATGGCCACATAAACACCACCCTATACCGGAAACCTACTGACCGCTATTCCTACCTGCATGCCTCCAGCTTTCACCCTGACCACACCACACGATCCATCGTCTACAGCCAAGCTCTGCGATACAACCGCATTTGCTCCAACCCCTCAGACAGAGACAAACACCTACAAGATCTCTGTCAAGCTTTCTTACAACTACAATACCCACCTGCGGAAGTGAAGAAACAGATTGATAGAGCCAGAAGAGTTCCCAGAAGTCACCTACTAAAGGACAGGCCTAACAAAGAAAATAACAGAACGCCACTAGCCGTCACCTTCAGCCCCCAACTAAAACCCCTCCAATGCGTTATTAAGGATCTACAACCTATCCTGAAGGATGACCCAACACTCTCACAAATCTTGGGAGACAGGCCAGTCCTTGCCTACAGACAGCCCCCGCAACCTGAAGCAAATACTCACCAACAACCACATACCACACAACAGAACCACTAACCCAGGAACCTACCCTTGCAACAAAGCCCGTTGCCAACTGTGCCCACATATCTATTCAGGGGACACCATCACAGGGCCTAATAACATCAGCCACACTATCAGAGGCTCGTTCACCTGCACATCCACCAATGTGATATATGCCATCATGTGCCAGCAATGCCCCTCTGCCATGTACATTGGCCAAACTGGAGTAAAAGAATAAATGGACACAAATCAGATGTCAAGAATTATAACATTCAAAAACCAGTTGGAGAACACTTCAATCTCTCTGGTCACGCAATTACAGACATGAAGGTCGCTATCTTGCAACAAAAAAACTTCAAATCCAGACTCCAGCGAGAGACTGCTGAATTGGAATTCATTTGCAAATTGGATACTATTAATTTAGGCTTAAATAGAGACTGGGAGTGGCTAAGTCATTATGCAAGGTAGCCTATTTCCCCTTGTTTTTTCCTACCCCCCCCCCAGACGTTCTGGTTAAACTTGGATTTATGCTGGAAATGGCCCACCTTGATTATCATACACATTGTAAGGAGAGTGGTCACTTTGGATAAGGTATTACCAGCAGGAGAGTGAGTTTGTGTGTGTGGTTTTTGGAAGGGGCGGGTGAGAAAACCTGGATTTGTGCTGGAAATGGCCCACCTTGATTATCATACACATTGTAAGGAGAGTGATCACTTTAGATAAGCTATTACTAGCAGGAGAGTGGGGTGGGAGGAGGTATTGTTTCATGGTCTCTGTGTATATAATGTCTTCTGCAGTTTCCACAGTATGCATCCAATGAAGTGAGCTGTAGCTCACGAAAGCTTATGCTCAAATAAATTGGTTAGTCTCTAAGGTGCCACAAGTACTCCTTTTCTTTTTGTTAAATCTGCATCACTTTATGTAGAACACACTCACTGGGCCACCAGCCACAGGGATGGACACGCAGCCTCCGCCTGCCACCTCTGTGGCACCGAAAACCGGGACCTCCTGAGCCTGTGGCTGAGTGCGCCAAGCGCTGGGATGCAGGGAGAACATCCGCTGAGACCTTTACAAAGACAAGGTGTACCTCAGTTTCCCCTCTCTCCTCATCATCACCTGAGGGAGGGGGGAAGGGTTAATGCTGCTCTTGGAGCAGCACAGGTGAAATGAGGTGCGTTTAGGGGCTTGTCTACACTTAGAACGCTTCTGTAGCGCTCCTGTGTTGACGCTAGCTACGCCAACAGGCGAGGGGCTCCTGCCGCCGTAACGAATCCACCCCCTGAGAGGCAGCCATTAGATCTTCCAGCAATGCAGCGTTGTCTACGCCAGGGGTTAGGTGGCTTAACCACACCACTCAGCAGTGTAGTTTTTTCACACCCCTGAGTGACGGAGTTAACAACTTAATTTTCTAGTGTGGACCAGGCCTAGGATGAATGGGTAACAGAACTGGGTGAAACTGACTCAGATCAACAGAGGAGCTGGAAAGCCCATGAGTCACTCCCAATGACTGAACAAGCAACACCTAACATGAGGAAACAGGGCAGGCAGAAGGTATGACCTCAATGGCAGAAGAACAAAGGAGAAAGGAGTGAAATGGCTGGAATAACATCAGCTATTCAGAGAGAGAGACAGGGCTCTCCCACCTGGGTCTCAGGCCTGCTCTATAATAGGAAAGTAAGTCAGTGTAACTACGTTACTCAGGAGTGTGAAAAACCAGGCCTGGAAGAAGCAAATATGGTTCCTCCATCAGTGTTGCTCAAGGGAGACGCGGCTCTTCGCTTCACTTAACCTTCGCTTCTCCACGTGGCCCTAAGCACTTTCAGATGCCATAGGCCAGGGGACAGAGAAATGGTTTTCTGGTGTCACCGCAAATAGGACCAGCCTTGTGCCCGAAGGGCCATGGAACGAGCCTCCCGCAGGAGTATGGCTTGGCCGGATTCACTGCCGGAGCCACAGGGAGAGACAAAGATTGCTGCCTCTCATCACGGGGCCAGAGTCGTGGAGGCCACATGCCAGCCCCTATAGGGTTCTGTCACGCTAAAAGGGTCACTCCCAAGGACGGGGTTACAGACGGGGCATTGATGAGAGCCTGGGAACCCATGACACAAGGGCTTAAGTCCTTTTGTAGAACTGATCCCCAGTGCCAGCCATCTTGAATTAGGGTAACCTGCACCTGAATGGGCAGAGAGGAAGGGGTGAGACTGTATGCCCCATGTGCTCCCACCTGCACATGCATGGTCGAACAGCTATGACGCACTGCCCCCAGCACGGCATGCTGCCCCATGCACGCCTGCCCAGCAAGTTACAGAACCAGGTGGGCCTGTCCCATGGCCGGAGCTGCTGGCATCGCTGGAGGCAGTGATGGGAAATCAATGTGCAAGACGGTGCTTTTCTATGTGTTGTAAGAGACCAGGAAAAGTGACAGATTGCAAAATAGAGAGGAGGGGGGAACACACATACCCCCCTCCCCATACACACATGCCCACCCACACACCTGAGTGCTGGAGGCATAAGGAAATGAGATTAAAAAGAATAAAGCCATGTGTGTTTGTCTGACCAAGGCCAGGAAGACAAAACAACAAGGAAGCCCAAACACACACTGCCATGGAGAGTCAGAGAGAGAAAGGTGTGTGGGGATAGATAGATGGATGATGATGGGGTGTATGGAGATCGAGAGGGGGGACCAGATATATGGGGATAGATAGATGAATGAGGAGGTCTAGATAGACCTCTATGGGGTCTATGGAGATGGGGTGTATGGGGATAAATAGCGTATATTCCAGGTGTTCTCAAACTGGGGGTTGGGACCCCTGAGGCGGTCGTGAGGTTATTACATAGAGGCTCGTGAGCTGTCAGCCTCCACCCCAAACCCCGCTTTGCCTCCCGCATTTATAATGGTGTTAAATATATTAAATTTACTTTTAATTTATAAGGGGGGTGCACTAAGAGGCTTGCTGTGTGAAAGGGGTCACCACTACAAAAGTTTGAGACCCACTGGCCTATTCAAATCCCCAGCTATCTCTCCCCATACACGCCCCCTTGATCTAACTCCCAACGGTGGTGGTGTTGCCAGGGCTCCATGTCTCCAAACCCAGCCCCGGCTGCACTGGCTATCTTTCCAGAAACTGCTTTACCCAAACACAAAGGATTGGTCTTAGTACAAGGGTAAGTGGATGAGTCTCAGGTGGTCGGACTGGGGATAATGGTCCCCGGGGTCTCGGAATCTGTCCCTCCTGGCTGAGCCCCCTCCCGCCCCAAGCCACTAAGCTGTAGCTCCCTCGCTCACTCCCTGTGGAGCAGTGGCTCTTGGCCCTTGCAGTAACCCAGTGAATGTGCCACCAGGAGACGGGTCTGAGCCCAGCCCCACTGGGTCTGTAACCTGGGCTCAGCGGCACTGGCAGCTCCCCCAGGGACCCGGCTCTTTCACTGAGCGTCTGGGGCTACCAGGTTTATGGGCACCTTATGAGCCCAGGCATTATGGGATCAGCCCTGAAATCAAGCCCCTTCCCCTGCTCATTTCCCAGATGAAAACAATACTCCAGGCCTCCTTTTATCCTTGTCATCTAAGGGCTCAGCCGCTCCCAGGCCTGGGCAGGCCTGAGGGACCTACAGGGCTGTGGCCATAGGGAACAGGGGAGAGCAGAGAGAGTCAAAACAGGTCTCGTCCAGCACTGAGATGCAGCTGTCTGTGGGATGGGGCAGGGAGGCTGTTTATACAGGGATCCCATGCCTGGCACTGAAATGCAGCCCTGCTGGCATGGGGCCCAGGGGGGCAGTTTACATAGGGACCCCTCACCCGGTGCTCAGACATGACCCCTCCAGGTGGGACATGAGGGGAGACCTGCATAGGGCCCCCTTCACACTTGGCTCCGAGATGTAGCCATCTCTGGGGTGGGTGCTGGGGCTGCTTGTAGGCTAAGTACAGGCTGCAGAACAGCCTATGAATAAGCTGCACATGGACAACGCCCCCCCCCTCGCGTCTTGCCCCCAGCTGCCCCGTCCTTTCTGGGGGGGGGTGGGGAATGTGTGCACTGGGGGGGACGAGACTGGAGGCTCACAGGAATGTGGGGTCGGGGTCTGGAGGTTCCTGAGGGGTGAGGGGCTGGAGGCTGTGACGGGTGATACGGGGAGGCTGAAGGATCCTGGGGAATGATGTGGCATGCGGGGTCCTAGAGGTGTGGGGCGGCGGGGGTGGAGTCTGTAGGCTCCTAGGGGGTCCGGGCTGGGGGGGCTGAAGGAGCCTGGAGGTTCCCGTCCTGTCCCAAGGCTAGCCGAGGGCGGGTCTCTCCGGTTTCCCCGCCCCGGGAGCAGCCCGCACCTCCCGCAGGTTAAAACACCTGGAGCCGGGATCCAGCTGCAGCGCCTTCGCCAGACCCTCTAGTGCCCGTGGACCCGGACCCGGATCCGATCTCCCGGAACCGGAGCCCCCTGCCCGTGGACCCGGACCCGATCCTGTCTGACAGCTGTAGCCCTGAACCCTCCTAGAACCGAATTGACCCGTGATGGCTACCCCGACCCCCGCCCCATCCCTCCCCGCCATGGGAGACCCCTTCCACCTCTCCCTGCTGCGCACTCCGCGCGGCCGATTCCGCGTCTCGCTGCCCCCAGGGGGTGAGTTCCTGCTGGGGACCCCGGAGCCACTGAGCCGTCCGGGCGCCGCTGGTGAGTCCGGGGACCTCGGGGTGGCGGCGGGGGGAGATAGGTCCTTTCCGCAGCTCCAGGAGGGAGGGGAGGTGTCTAGGGCTCCTGGGTTCTATTCTCAAGTCGGGGGGAGGGGCACTCAGGACTCCTGGGTTCCATTCATGCCTTGTGCACTGAGGGAGGTTAGCCAAGGGGACGCTGTGTATCCCTGCCCCAGGTTTTGCTGCCATCGTCCCGCTGAGACGGGGTCCTTTAATTCCTCAGGGGCAGGTGCCTCACCAGGAGAGAATTGTCCTTGGGAACTGCCCCCCCCCCCCGCACCTGCCACAGGCCCTGGGGTGGGGGCTGATCCGGTGATGAACCAGGGGAGATCCCACAGGACCCGGGGGTGGGGGGAGACAGTTTTCTGAGTGCCCCTCACCCAGGATCCCCATCACCCATCAGACCCCACCATGACGCTTATTATGTCTGCACCCATTGCCCAGAAGCCTTTGCTGAGAGGGGTGCCCGTCCGAGGGCAGAGGCTGGCGGGGCATTGGACAGATTATTCTGTGTCTAGCACCTGGCACCATGGGGGGGGGGGAGCTATGGCGAGGGCCCCTAATGAGCCAGTTGTGATTTATTATCTAATGTGACCAAGGCTGGAGAACGTCCCCCAAATCTCCCTAAATCGAGCAATTCTGTCCTCAGGGGCTTAGCTGCTGTGTGCCACGGGCAGAGAACAGGAGATCCGGGTCAGGCTTGTCTGTGCCCCACTCCATGCCCCTTCCATCACACAGGGCCAGCGCTGCCCAGCACATGTGCGGAAACACCCCCTCCCATTGGTGTGGGAGTCTGGGATGGGGTATCAGGCCCCTTCTCCAAGGGCAATATTCCCCTGTACAGCTAGGCAAAGAGAGCCCTGTAGGCCAGATGTGCAGCACAGATTCTGTGTGTGCTTGGGGCAAAACAACTGGGCACTACTGGGATCTAATCAGTGGGGCCACAGGCCTCCAGGGAAAGGCCAGGTCCACTGCCTCCTACCCCAAGTTATTCGATAATATTTGCCCTGTGCTTTCCTGCAGATAAATGACCTCCTTCTCCATGGGTGTGATTTCCTCTGGTAATTAACCATTAACCAGGGCAGCATGTTGGCGGAGCAGGAACCCTTCCTGTGCTTGAAGGAGGTCAGGCCGGGGTCAGACACTGTGGGTTAGGGTTGACTGGCCTGTGCTAGGTTACTCAGGACAAGCTGTTCTGGAATCAGCATTCCTGATTAACCCCACGGGCAGACAAATCCATTCCCACAGAACAAACTAGTGTAGTGCTTCGCATCAGTGTCTCTCAAAGTGTTTGCCATCCTCCCCCACCTCTGTGAGGGAAATACCACCAGCTCCATTGCCTAGCAGGGCAGTGGAGATGCAGACAGGCTGGGGCGGCCATGGCAGAGCAATGAGAATTGAACCAGTTGCACCAAAATCTCCAAACCACTGCGCCCTTCTTCACAGAGGCCATGTCTGCACTAGAGACCTTACAGCGGCACAGCTCTAAGGTCTCCCCTGTAGCTGCTCTGTGCTGGGGAGAGCGCTCTCCTGTCGGCCTCATCAAACCACCCCCAACAAGTGGTACTAGCTCTGTTGTCAGGAGAGTGTTTCCTGCCCACACAGCATTGTCCACACCAGCACTTCTGTCGGTGCAATTTATGTTGTTCAGAAAGGTTGTTTTTTTCACATCCCCTGAGTCACATAAGTTATACCAACAAAAGTGCTAGTGTAGACATGGCCTAAACTAGCCAGCAACAAGCTACTCCTAAAAGGTTTGTCTACACTTGAAGGTTAATCCGAATTAAGGGCAGGTGTGAATGTAAGGCCATGTCTACACAGGGCAATTAGTAAGACGTTTCTTACCGTCAATGGACTCAGGGACAAGAAGTGATGGGCTTAACCTGCAACAAGGGAGATGAAGGTTAGATTTTAGGAAAACACTTTCTAACTCTCAGAGTTGTTCAGCTCTAGAATCATCTTACCAGGGAGGCTGAGGAATCCCCATCATGAGAGGTTTCAGCACAGTCTGGACAAACCCCTGTCAGGGATGATCTGGGTTTCCCTGGTCCTTCCTCAGCATGCGGGGCTGGACTAGATGACCTTTTGAAGTCCCTTCCACAATTCTACAACATAGCTAGGGTGTGAATTTGAAGTGCAGTCACTCCCTGTACATGACACTAAGGGCATGGCTACACTTGCAGATGTAGAGCGCTTTGAGTTAAACCAGCCTTCGCAGAGCGCAGCAGGGAAAGCGCTGCAGTCTGTCCACAGTGCACTGGCGTGGCCACATTTGCGGCACTTGCAGTGGCTTTGGGAGCGGTGCATTATGGGCAGCTATTCCAGCATGCAAGTGGCTGCAACGTGCTTTTCAAATGGGGGAGGGGGTGTGGAGTGTGACAGGGAGTGTGTTGTGTGTATGTGGGGTGGGAGAGAGTGGGTTTTTGGGGGGCTGAGAGCATGTCAGCATGCTGTCTTGTAAGTTCAGACAGCAGCAGACCCCCCTCCCCCCACCTCCTTCTCTCACACACTGCATTCCACAGTAAGGGCTTGCTTCAAGCAGCCAGCTGTCAGGGGCATAGACACATTCCTGCAGCAATTCAAAAACAATGAGAAGAGTGGCCACTTGACTTAAGGGGATTATGGGACGTTTCCGGAGGCTGATCAGTTAATCTTGCCAGGTGGAGTACAAGGAGCGCTCTAGCCGTGGAGCCAGAGCACTCTATGCGCCTTGGCAGTGTGGACGGGGAGTGAGCTAGGGCACCCAGGCCTGCTTTAATGCGCTCACAAGTGTAGCCGACAGTGCCTTCCTTCTCCTGTTCAAAGGTGGAATAAGAGGAAACAGAAACTAGGCACTCCTGTTCTGGAATGTCAGCGTCCACACACAGACTTAATCAGGAATAGCTGTTGTACTTTAAATTCACACCCTATCTTAATCTGCAGGTTTATCTACACCTGAGAGTTAATTCAGATTATGTCTCTTTGTTCTATGCAGTGCCTAGTACAATGTGGCCGTGGTCCATGAGAGGCACCACAATACTCATCATAACAATGTGTAGACGCAGCAGGGTGGACAGGGCTCGTGCCTTCATACCGGGGTCACAAAAGCACCGGGGGCTTTGGCTGTGCTGCAGCCTCTGCAGGGAATTGGGGTACCAATTCTATCAGCCATGCTGAGCAGTAAACAAACTCCACAGTGCAAGCCCCTCAGCCCTCCGGGGCAGGGGCACTGAGATACCACCCTCCCATGCTCAGCACTGTCTCCTAAGCAGCCATCTAGCCTCATCAGTAGCCTGCAGCCTCTTCACAGCCCGCAGATAGGCCCGCGAGCTCCTTGGCCAGGGAACGGAGCTGGGCAACAGTGCTGCCTGGCAGCCTAGTGGTCAGAGCACTCCCCTGGGGTGTGGGAGAATGAGGGTCAAACCTCTGCCCGCCTCAGTGCAAGGACTGGCACAGTTGCACTCCCGTCCAGGCTGTAAGAGAGGTTGGGGTGTGGCTTCCCTGCCAAAGCTGAGCCCGAGGATAAAACCATCCTGTGAGGAGGGGGCCGTGAGCCTAGCTGGGGTCCCACTCTACCCCCTGGCTCTGAGGGATGCTAGGGCAGGGTGTTTTCAGTCTCTGGGTGAAGTTGATCCATGGCGTGAACTGCAGTAAAACAGTCTTTAGACCCAGGGACTAGACCCAGCCAATCTGATCTCCTGGCTCTATGGCCAATCCCAAGAAGCCATAGAGCCAGTCACAGGCCAGCTGTGTGCCAAAGAACATTTGTTTGTAGCAAGAGGAATAGCTTCAGTAGGAGAGACTGAACCAGCCCCACGCCAGTGAGCAGGGCACTGCCTTGGGAAGGGGAGACCTAGTTATTGTCTAAACCAGGCCAGACACCTAACTCAGAGGGTCCTGACCCTGGCGGGAAAGGCCCCGTATCCCCTCATCCGGACAGACCAGCCTTGCTCATGTCTCATTCCTGTTCTTCCAGCCCCCACCACCCAGCCCGTCAGCAAAGAGCCAGCTGCTGCTGTCAGAAGCTTTGGGCCACATTAGGTATTTGCAGTTGGTGATCATGTTACCGCTTAGTCTCTTGGCTAAGGCCTCGTATAAAGGGAGCCTTCAGTGAGAGGAGGAGGATGGGCCAGCCCTGTGGGTGTCTGGGCTCTGCTGACCGTGGCTGGTGTGACGTGGCCACGTCACTGAGTTTGTTGGGGGGCACAGGTGTACCTGCACCCTGGGGTGCTGTGACATTACAGAGCGTGAGGTGCTCAGATACTGGGGGGTGGGGCGGGGGTGAAAAAAGTGCCTGAGACCTGGTCAGCACCACAGCCCTAGATGGGTATAACTGTGTTGCTCAGGGGCTTGACAAGCCTGCTGTGACACCCACCTCACCCCCTGCAGTCAGTGCTGTGTCACCAGAGTGTCTCTCGGGGAGCAAATTAACTACGCTTTCTCCTGATGCCGTGCTTTCAGGGGAGACCTGCCCTTTGATAAAACAGCTTCTCACTGAAAAGCAGCTTTTCCAGCCCTCAGACCATCCTTGTCACTCTTTCCTGAACCCTTCCCAATTTATCAGCAGCCCTTTGAAGTGTGGACACCAGAACTGGGCATGCTATCCAGGCTTGGGCTCACCAATGCCGCTTGCAGAGGTGCCACCTCCCCCGCTCCTATCACTAGTGCCCCATTTGTACCCAGGTCCCAGTTACTCCTTTTCGCCCTGAGTGGCTGGTCAGTTTGGGTCCTGGGGGAGGTTCCTGTTGGAGTCCGTATTGCCTTTCAAGCAGTCTTGTTTGTTCATTCCTTGTAAATAAAGTCCTGCTTCTCCAAACACAGGAGAGACCAGGAACAAAGCGAGCTGTTCCTTAGTTTGCAGCCCCAGCCTCGTTAGCCACTAGACCCTTTTTCCAGCATCATGCTCTGCTCGCAGGCTTTCTTGCTGTTTGTCTCTGTCCCCCTCTTTTTGTTCCCAGTTTGAATCAGCAGGTTCTCCTTTCCCTCAGCCACACATCAGCAAAACAAGCCCCCTCCCCTCACAAGATGCAGGTTTCAGGGCAGAATCATAGAATATCAGGGTTGGAAGGGAGCTCAGGAGGTCATCTAGTCCAACCCCCAGCTCAAAGCAGGACCAATCCCCAATTTTTGCCCCAGATCCCTAAATGAAGATTAGGCCTTGTTTTAGAAGTGGTCCCTGAAGCATTTCTTACAGCTATGGAGTGTGCTAAAACCTCACAAACACATGTGAACTCAGCCCATCCCAAGGGTTCACCCAGCTCAGAGCACCCTGGGCTAGACCAATGACTTGTCTGCGTCTGAAGCAGCCCTGTGTTTAGTTAAAAGTGTAGCAGCTTCCAGAAAGGCAGCCAGTCGTTATCCAAAGCCATGGTCTGCCACTTCCCTTGGTAGTTTGTGTAGCTAGATATTCATTGCATGGTTAACCGTGGGAGCACAGCGGGCACTCAGGTTCAGTTGGTATCTGCCGGGACCCGCCCAGGCCTCTCTAGCATCACAGTCCCACTGCCTATCTGACATCTGTTCCCTCCTGTTCTAAGCGCCTCTGTATCTGTTGAGCCTGTATGACTGACCTGGTGTTCAGCTGCATTGAAACATCCAGCCAGCTGTTAGTTGTACTAGCAATGGTCTTCTCTCTCCCTAGCCTGGGATCCTGGGAGGAAAGTTCCTGCATCCCCCGCCCAGCCCAGAGAGAGGCCAGCCCTGTGACATTGCTGGGAAAGGCCCAGTGCCCCATTCCCTGCGGCTGGAGTTGGTGACCTCAGGATCAAAATGTCTCCTATTTCTGGCACTGTAGTTTCGATGCCTGTGGGTTTGGCTCTGACCTCAGGGGTTCACGCAGCAGCGCTGGTATCGCAGCGTGCATCCGGGTGTCGCAAATTCTCCCTTAGGCCGAACGAGGAGAACTGGGGGTTAATTGCCTAGCTGCATATTTTAAAACACTCCTGTAATTAAGCGATTCCCCAAGGGAACCCAAGCACCAGGGATGGGCTGGCATTTATTACCCAGTGAATCGGCAGCTGCAGTTTCTGCAACAACCCACCCGAAAGCCAAATCATCCTGAATTGTGGCAGGTTGGGTTGGGCATGGGGGTGGGGTTGGGGGGGAAATGGGATGCTGGTTGCAGAAAGAGTTCCTGAGTAGTGTGACCCCCCCCCATCCTGATATTAGGGGTTTTGTCCTATACAGGACCCTATTCCCGCCCCTGCTGGTCCTGATTTTCACACAATACTTGTTTCTGGGGAGGTGAGCGAATTTGAGCTTTCCTCTGATTTCCCAGCAGGTGAGGGTCTTTCCTGGGGTCGAGGGTCTGGGGAGGACGTGCGTCTGTTAATGATCAGAATTTTTGGTTCAATTTGCATTATGTTATCAGCGAGAGGGTCCATATAGAACCCAGAAGTCCTAACACCCAGTTTCGCCGCTCTGACCTACCAGACTCCCCTTCCCTTCCAGAGCCGGGGGGAGAACCCAGGAGTCCTGGTTTCCAGCCCCCTCTGTCTAACCTTCTGAACCCCACTCCCCTCCCAGAGCTGGGGAGAACCCAGGAGTCCTGGCTTCTAAACCCCCACCCCTGCTCTAACCCACCAGACCCCACTCCCCTCCCAGAGCTGGGGCGAGAACCCAGGTGTCCTGTTGAGTCAGGCAGATATGCTAGGGGAACGGAACACAAGCCAGCTGAGGTGGGAATGCCTTGGGGCTCTGGGGTCTAAGGCCCCAGAGCAGCAGCGTCTGGGACAGCACAGCATGATTAGTATGTGCCCAGGGAGATTTGACAGAGCGTCATGCTCCTGAGCACATCCGGTCCCACCACCCCTCCTGCCCCGCAGCAGCTGAGCTGGGTCAGCGAGTGGCGCGACTGGTTGGGCTGGTCAGGGCTGCCCCAGGGCCTGGTCTGGCAACAGCTCCATGCACACCCTGCACACAGATGCCTGGCACACCTTTCCCCCCTTCCCTGGGCTGAGGGAGGGAGGATCACTGACCCCTGGGCCCTAAGCACTAGACCCCACTCCCCACCCAGAGCCAGGGAGAGAACCCAGGTGTCCTGGCTCCCAGCCCCCCCTGCTCTAACCCACCAGACCCCACTCCCCTCCCAGAGCCAGGATAGAACCCAGGAGTCCTGTGCTAACCCCTCTCCTGTTCCCTCGCAGGCCAAAGCTTCTGCATCCCTATCACCGAGATGGTCGGGGTGCAGCTGGGCGGGTCTGGCTCCCCCCCCACAGTGGAGGGAAACCAGTTCACAGGTGAGTCAGGTGGCAAGGGGGGGGGGCTGTGGGGCATCCCTGCCCCAGGACCCTCTGGGGAAGGGGCTGAGGGTGTGGGGGAGAGGCTGTATTTGAAGCATCTGAGACGTCAGCAACTGATGAGGTGGCGGTGCCAGGCAGCGGAGGTGGGTTTGGGTGGAAGGGTTGGGCAGCCGAGATGGGTTTGGGGGTCAGGGTTGGGCAGCCGAGATGGGTTTGGGGGTCAGGACCTGGCAGAGGAGATGGATTGGGGGACAGGGACAGGCAGCAGAGACGGGTTTGGGGGGCAGGGTTGGGCAGAGGAGATGGGTTTGGGGGACAGCGCCAGGCAGATGGGTTTGGGGGACAAGACCCGGCAGAGGAGATGGGTTTAGTGACAGGGTTGAGCAGCCGAGATGGACTGGGGGACAGGGACAGGCAGCAGAGATGGGTTTGGGTGGCAGGGTTGGGCAGCCGAGATGAGTTTGGGGGACAGGACCCGGCAGAGGAGATGGGTTTGGTGGCAGGGTTGGGCAGTGGAGATGGGTTTGGGGGACAGCTCCAGGCAGATGGGTTTGGGGGGCAGGGCTGGGCAGAGGAGATGGGTTTGGTGGCAGGGCTGGGCAGTGGAGATGGGTTTGGGGGACAGCTCCAGGAAGAGGAGATGGTTTTGGGGGACAGGGCTGGGCAGAGGAGATGGGTTTGGGGGACAGGACCCAGCAGAGGAGATGGGTTTGGTGGCAGGGTTGGGCAGTGGAGATGGGTTTGGGGGACAGCTCCAGGCAGATGGGTTTGGGGGTAGGGCTGGGCAGCAGAAATGAGTTTGCAGGGCAGGTACTGGCAGTGGGACAGGATGGGATGAGGCAGTTCAGAGCAATGGAAACGGGGGGGTGTGGGGGTCAGAGACTAATGGGAGTGACTGACTCCCCATCCGCAGGACAGCTGCTCTGTGGGGGGTCACAGCCTTGCCCCTGGGCTCTGACCCCCCAGCTCTCGTTCCCCCCAGTTTTCTTCGTGCAGCGGGAGAAGCGACAGCGCTGGAGCCTGGGCTCCCTGGAGTTCACTGTGGCCCCTGGCTCGGGACTGGCCCCACGCTGGGTCGATGCCCTGCAGCGGAGCATCCAGCTGCATGGTCAGTACTGGGGGGGGGGCAGTCAGTACTGGCGGGATACTGGTCAGTAAGGCAGGGGAGACTGGTTCATACTGGGGGGGACTGGTCAGCACTGGGGGGGCGGTCAGTAAGGAGGGCAGCAGTGGGGGGTACTAGTCAGTAGCCTTGGGGAGGAGGCACCAGACCAGGCTGTGGAGCCAGAGGGTCCCTGGGGATCACAGCACTCTGGTTATTTCCTACTGCTGGGGTCAGCAGTGCTGGGGGACCCCACCCCATGATGGACAGAGGGAGCTGTGACCCTCTCCCTGGGGCTGGGTGCCAGCATCCTGTGCTGGACCCATTGCAGCCGCTCCGGGCGAGGGTGTCCCTGGAGGGGATGGTGGGTTGGGGCATCCCTACGGTGGGGTGGGGGGTAAGAACCTGTGCCCCAGGAGCGCCGCCACTCCATCATGCACCCCCCCCAGGAACTTGTGACCTGAGGTGATGCTCTCTCTGCTCCCCCGGCAGGTGTCACACGCCCCAGGAAGCTTCTGGTCTTCGTGAATCCCGTGGGGGGGCGGTGCCGCGCGGGTGAGATTTACCGGGACCGGGTGGCCGGGCTTTTTGCCCTGGCAGGGATCCAGACAGAAGTCATAGGTGAGTGCCCACCCAACATCTCCCCATATTACCCTGTGCTGCCCCCTCCCACTGAGTGACCCCCAGTCACAGACCTATAGGGTCGATGCTATGCCCCCAGCTTGAGAACAGTCTCTGGGAAGGACCCCTCAGTGTGCCAGACCCTCCTGAGGTCTCTCTTCCTTCGGAGTACACATGGCCTCCTCCTCTGCTTGGACCGAGCCTCGGGGCTCCAGCCTTCCAGATTCACACAGGGAGCTCGGCCCAGTGAGGCTGCCAGGACAGAAGCCTGCTAGAGATTTGGCCGCACTGTGGGACTGATGAGGACAGAACATAATAACGTCCAGGCTGGGTCAGACCAATGGTCCAGCTAGCCCCATGTCCTGTCTGCTGACCGTGGCCTGTGCCAGGTGCTCCAGAGGGATGGACAGAGCCGGGGGTTTATTGTGTGATCCATCCCCTGCGTCCAGTCCTGGCATCCGGCTGTCAGCGGCTCAGGGACACCCAGAGCAGGGGGCTGCGGCCATGGCCATCCTGGCTAACAGCCAGCCATGGATCCAGGCTCCAAGAATTTGCTTGTGTCCTCAAGGATTTATACATTGATCAGTGGCCAGCCTCAGACCCATTTAGTCTCTGGCAGCGAGGTGACATTCACCACAATGTCTCTGAATCTGCCCTGAGTCCTCACAGTCCTTTCCCACCCACCGGGTAACTCAACCATGCACAGGGGAAACTGAGGCATGGATAGGGTTCATAAAAATAATATAGAAAATTCCCATTTTATGACAGCCCCTCCCTCCCCATCCTTGGCCAACTCCACCATGCTGCCCCCTTCCTCTGAAACCCCCTACATCTCCCCCCTCTTGAGTGACCACCGCACATCATCGTGCTGTGCTGCCCCCTCCCACCTCTGCCCCATGAGCAATTCCCACCCCTGCAACACCTCCAAGTGCCCCCTGACTCCCTCCCACCCCCACCCAATACCCTCTCTGCTCACTCACCCCCCCTCTCCCCACAGAGACCCAGCGACCCCACGAGGCCAGAGAGCTCATCCTGCAGCAAGACCTGGGCGACCTGGATGGGTGAGAGACCCCTTTACCCTGCCCCACCACCCAACCCTAGGACGGGGCAGCTCCATTAACCCCCCATACACTTCACGTACCCCCTGGGCAGCCCCCCCCAGCCCCAGTAACCCCTAGGTCTCTGCCTCCCAGGCTGGTTTGCGTCGGGGGTGATGGGACGTTTAACGAGCTGATGCATGCACTCATCTCCCGGACACAGAGGAAGGCTGGGATTCCTGAGGACAACCCTGCGGCCACACTCCTGCCCCCCAGACTCCGCATCGGCATCATCCCTGCAGGTGCGCATGGGAGGAGAGAGAGGGGCTGGGGGGGGGAGCAGGGAAGTGGGGGGCAGAGGTCCAGGGGCCAGTGGAGTTAGAGGACAGTGGGGAGGTGGGCAGCAGGGTGGGGGTGGAGGACAGGGGGAGCTGGTTGGAGGGAGATCACTGGGGACAGGTGGGGGGTGGAAGAGGGGGTGGAGTGGAGGGGTTGTGGGGGAAGCTGTGGGGGGCAGGGGCTGGTGGAGATAGCGGACACGGGGGAGATGGGCAACAGGGTGGGGGTGGAGGATGGGGGGAGCTGGTCAGAGGGAGGGCACTGGGGACAGGTAGGGGGCGGAAGAGGGTCTGGGTGTGGGGCTGTGGAGCCTGCAAGGGGTAACAGCTCAGCAGGTCCCAGGGGACGACTCACTCCGTTCTCCCAACCCAGGCTCCACGGACTGCATCTGCTTCGCCACGGTGGGGACCAATGACCCCGTCACCTCTGCCCTGCACATCATCATCGGTACAGGACACCTGGGTCCTATTTGTTCACCTGGGATTGGAGTGGGATCTGGTGGGTCAGAGCAAGGGGGGGGGAAGGGGTGGGCTGGGAGCCTGGACTCCTGGGTTCTCTGATGGCCCTGAGAGGGGAGTGGGGGCTGGTGGGTCTGGGGGCAGGTGTCTGGGAGCCAGGACTCCTGGGTTCTCTCTCCAGCTCTGGGAAGGGAGTGGGAGGTTGGTGGAGTAGAGCTGCGGGGGTGTGGGGGTGGAGGAGAGGCAGGACTCCGTGTATTCAGGTGTCCGGGCCCCTCTCTGCCCCAGGGGACAGCCAGCCCCTGGACGTGTGCAGTGTCCACCACCATGAGCGGCTGCTGCGGTATGCGGTCTCGCTGGTGGGCTATGGCTTCTATGGGGATGTGGTGAGCGACAGTGAGCGGCACCGCTGGATGGGCCCGATGCGCTATGACTTCTCAGGTGCCAGGGGACCCAGAGGGTATGGCAGGCCTGGGGAGTGTGGGGACCCCAGTGAGGGAGAGGCCAGGGGTCCCCCAGCCAAACAGAGGGTGGGGACTGGAGAGGGAGCCCCTGCCCCAGAAAGGACATGGGGGGGAGGGATGGGCTCAGGGGGTTCCCTCACCCATCTGGGAACCCGGGGACTGACCGGGGGATGGGGCAGAAGGAGCCGGGCCTGAGATGCACCATGGGGCAGTCCCTGCCCCCCAAGACTGCCAGAGGGGAGGGGGTGGCATGTCTGGGGGGCAGGGAAGGAACAAGCCTGAAGGAGGGCTCCATGGGTTTGTGTGTGGGAAACAGTCTTTTGACTGGAGCAGGCCACGTGGAGCCTTGAACCCTCCCCCCCCTGCCCCACACAGGGTTCAAGGCCGTGCTGTGTAACCGCAGCTATGAGGGCACCGTAGAGTTCCTGACGGCAGGGGGCACTGAGGCCAATCCCCGGGACCAGACGCGCTGCAGGGCAGGGTAGGTGGGGGCTGCTGGCCTGTGGGAGGGGCTGCAGGCGGTAGGTGGGGGGGCTGCTGGCCTGGGGTCTGCAGAGCAGAGGGAGCATGGGGGAGCTGCAGGATGGGGTGGGGAGGCTGGTGTCCTGTGGGAGGGGCTGCAAGGTGCGGGGGGGGGCCTGCAGGTAGGCTGCTGGCCCATTGGGGTGGGACTGGATCCCATGGGAAGGGGTTGTCAATCCAGGGCCTCATGCCCCTCAGGGAATGGGGGGGAACCCCATGCTCCTGCCAGCAGTGGCAGCCCAGAGCATTTTGAGGCTTGGAGGTTGGGGGGGGGGTGACTTTGTATCCCACCCACAAACCAGTCTGCATTCATTAAATGTTCAAGCAGCTCCTTCCCCCTTACAGTGATTGGCTCAGGCAGTCAGTCATACTTGGAGCAGCTTCCCCCCACAAACTCAGAGTGATGGGCTCAGGCTCTCTGCAGACTCAGGCAGCATTGGTCACACCTGAGGCAGCTCCCCCAGTGCCTACAGGATGGCTCTGAGCCCTGTGGAGGGGCTGGGGCCCTGGACACTTGCTATAACAACCTCTTCCATTGTAGCTGCCTTGTCTGCTCTGAGTCCAGTCACCAGCTCCTGGGGGGGAGCGAGGAGGAGAAGCTGCCACAGCAGGAAAGCACTGGGGCTGCAGGTGAGCTGAGCACAGAACAGGTGTCCCCGCCCCTTGCACTAACAAGCCAGCTGGGGCCGCAGGAGCAGCCGGGGACACCCTGACTAGCTCTTGTAAACCCAGGTCAGCCTGGGGGCTCCTGCAATGACATGCAACAAAAGGAGGCTGAGATGGGCCCAGAGCCACAGGCACCAGCAGAGCTGGGGAGAGAACCCAGGACTCCTAGTGTCCAGCCCCCCACACCCTAACCCAACTGACCCCACTCCCTTCCCAGAGCCGGGGGAGAACCCAGGAGTCCTGGCTCTGACTCCCTCCCCCCTCTGCTGTCACCCACTAGACTCCCCTGCAGTCATGCTATAATAAATGATACCCAAAAGGCCAGGAGGGGGAGTGTCAGTCTGGGATTTAAACTGCCCCCAAAACAGCAAGTGGCAGGGGGAAGGGATTTGGGGCAGGGGGACCAGGGTAACGGTGTCTCTCCCCCAGCCAGCAAGTGGTGGAGGGATGTGGGGGGTTGGGGCAGGGAGACTGGGAGTAATGGTGTCTCTCCCCCAGTCAGTGAGTGGCAGCGGGAGCAGGGCCGTTTTCTGGCCATTAACTTGACCTGCATGAGCAGCGCCTGCCCCAAGAGTCCTGACGGCCTTTCGCCCAGCGCCCACCTGGCCGACGGCACAGCCGACCTCATCCTGGTGCGCGAGTGCTCAGCTCTGGGCTTCCTGCGTCACCTGAGTCGACACATGGACCATCGGGACCAGGTGGGGGGGTGGGCCAGACCCAGGGCATATGTGGACTCCCAGGGCCCAGGAAGGGGTCATGGGCCAGGCCCGGTGGCATGAGGAGGATGAGCAGGCCTGGAGTCACAGCCATGGGGAAGGGAGATGGTGGGAACATGGGGTCAGTAAGCAGCAGGTTGGGGTGTGGGAACGCTGAGTGGGAGGAGGGCAGGCTCAAGCAGTCACTGCAGGATCCATTCTGGGTCCAGCCCCCGGGGGCTCCAGCATCAGGGGAGCAGCTAACCCCCACTGTGGGGGATGGGGCATGGGGCAGTCCCTCCCAGCAAGGCTGGGTCATGACCCCCAGGAGGGACAGGGAGAGGCCCCTGGAGCTAGGTCCTTGCCCAGGCCTCTCACTCAGTCCAACTCCCCTCTTCCCTCTGCAGTTTGACCTGCCCTTTGTGAGCGTACACCGGGTGCGGGCCCTGCGCTTTACCCCCAAGCAGCTGGAGGGCAGCGAGGAGAGGGAGCGGCCTGGCTGCAGGGGGTGGAAGGGGCTTCTACGGGGGCTGTGCTGGGGGGAGCAGCCACTGAGCTCCTGGAGCTGTGATGGGGAGACCCTGCCCCATGCCGACATCAGTGTCAGGTGAGTGTCCATAACCCCATGGGAGGGAGGGAAGGCCTGCAGCAGGGGGAAGAGGAAATGCTCCAGAGCAGCTATGTCCATGCCCTCCCCCACATGGTGTGAAAGCCACTTGACAATAGCATTCAGGGCTTCCCCCCATAGCATTATGGGAGCTTCCCAAAGGATTGTGGGAGTTTGGTCCCTTTCTGCCCTCTAGGATTGTTGTAAGCAAGACACAAGCAGTAATTCTTCTTTCCACTCCATGCTGACAAGGCCTCCGCTGCAGGACTGTGTCCAGTGCTGGGCCCCACATTTCAGGAGAGATGTAGGCAAAGTGGAGACAGTCCAGAGAGCAACAGAACTGATCCAAGGGCTAGAAAACATGGCCTGATAAGGGAAGACTGAAAAACCTGGGTTTGTTTAGCATGGAGAAGAGAAGATTGAGGGGGGGACATGAGAACAGTTTTCAGTTACATAAAAAGTTGTCATAAGGGGGCGGGAGGGATTCTCCTGGATCTCTGAGGGTAGGACAAGAAGCAATGGGCTTGAATTACAGCCAGGGCAGTTTAGGTTGGACATTAGGAAGTTTTTCCTAAAAGGTCAGGGTGGCTAAACATGGGAACAAATTGCCTAGGGAGGCTGTGGCCTCTCACTGGAGGGTTTTGAGAACAGGTTAGATGACCCCCTGTCTAGCTATTACACAGTGCTACCTTGAGTGCAGGGGCTGGGACTAGGTGACCTCTTGAGGTCCCTTCCAGTGCTACCCTTCTCTGCAGCCTAGGATCGCATTAGCCGTTCACAGCCACGTCACATTGGCAGCTCATAGTCATCCTGTGATCTCCCATGTAAAGAAAAACAGGTCTTTCTCTTCTGCTGCTTCCAACTGGTCAGGCCCCAACTTGTAGCAAAAAGCCTCAGTGCTTGTCTCTGAGTGCAGGACCTGTCCCTGTGTGCTATTACATTTCCTCCCATTTCTGACTCTCCCACTTTCCAGGTTGTCCTGCTGATGCCGTCTTTTGTCCACAGGGTGCATGGGCAGCTCATCCACCTGTTTGCCCGGGGCATCGAGCAGAAGATGGGCCTGGTTTAGGGGCTGCTTGGAGCTGCGTCCTGTGAGAGGGCTGTGCCCTCGCCCATCAGCGGAAACCAAGAGCCCTGCAGGGTGACAGACACTGTGGTCTGCGGGACAGCCGCATGTCAGAGCCCTCTGTTTGCTCCCTGACCCCCAGAGGGAGTTGTGCCATGCTGGGTCGGCCGTGGGGGTTGAACCATCCCTGCCTGGCTGGCTCCGAGGTGGGGTGCGGACAGGAGCAGAACCCACAGTCCTCTGCAGCAACCTGGGGGCTCAGGCTGCCACCACCCTGCATGAAGCTGCTGCAGTGATCACAGTCGGTGTAGTGGGGTGGTTACGTCAGCAGGAGCCAAAGTTCAGTGTTGACACTTTCAGTTAGGTCGATATAAGTGGCCTTGGGTTGACCTAAGGCTGTAGTGTAGCCCAGACGCCGGGGGTAAACGGGGCCAGATATAATGTAGCTGGGGGAGTGGGCACGATGGGGGGCAAGTAGAGAACTCTAGGGGGGCTTCTGAAAAAGCAGCTCAGTCACAAATAAAGGGAGAACGGGTCCTGCTTGGCTGTGTTTGGTTTCCACCAGGGGTGGGGATCAGGGGCATCCGGTGCCTTTGTAGTGGGGGTGGGCAGCAAGACATGCCTCAACAGGCTGTGGGGGCATGGGCACTGTGCACGAATGGAGACTGGCCTCTGATTTAATGCCGCTCCCTTCCCTGCGGCTATCACCAGGGCCATCTGAGTTACCAGGTGACTCCCAGCAGAGCTGGGCGGCAGGGCCAGGCTCCAGGTAACAAGCTGTCAGACCCCCAAGGGGCACAGGATGCAGTAGCCGGACAGACAGAGAACGGGCCTGACTCTGATTCCAACAATTTCTGTTTACAAAACGGCGCCATTTACAGAAGCCCCAGGGCTGCGGTGGGGCTGGAATGTCTCAGCAGCAAAGAAAGCACAGAGTCCAGGGTGAGGTGGCGGCAGCGAGCCCCACTGGAGCCAGAGGCTCTAACCTCCCGCAAGCCCAGTGTGAGGCCAGAGCCCAGGGCACGGGTGGGAAGCGAGATGGGCTGTAAACATGACAGGCTGTGCCAGGCCCAGTTGTGGTCCCAGGATGCAGGTGGGGAAGGGGATCTAGGCCCAATGCGGGGCAGGGATCTGGCTGGAGTGCATCTGGAGGGGGCAGGGAATCCAGACCCAGGGAACTGAAGGGTTTGGAGGACGGTATAGATGGGATGGATGGGGGATTAGTGTCTGGGCCAGGGCTGCAGGAGACCAGGGCGAACCAGGACCTGGGCCCACCAGGGAGGGCGGGGTTGGGGGGGTGGGGTGGAAATCGCAACTCATTTGGCTGTCCAGGACATATCCCCAGTGCCCAGCTATCCCATCCCTGCCCTTCTCTGCCAGCCTCCCCAACCCCGATGTCCAGCTCCTCTCACCTTGCCGTTCTCTGCTAGCCTTCCCCCACCCCAGCTGCTCACACCTTGCCCTTCTCTCCTAGCCTCCCCACCCATATCCAACTCTCCCCTTCCCTCTCGGCCCCCAGCCACATATCCCCACCCCAGGTTTCCCTGGAGGGGGGGGGAGCAGTGAGCGGAGCAGATGGACCTCCCAGGGCGAGAAGCAGGGCTGCTCTGGGGAGGCAGCAGCTGGCCCCTGACTCAGAGCTTGTGCGGATTCACCCAGCGGTAGGTGCCCTCGTACTGGAACCCAACCCTCTTCATCAGCTCATCCGCCTCGGGTGGGCCCCGGCTGGAAAAGAGCAACACCCCCGGGTTAGAGCCCACAGGCAGGCTTGCCAACATGTGTGGGGCACATGGTTCTTATGGGATGTGGAGCAGGCCCCCCGCCCCCCCAATCATTCACCACCTTCCTCTGCAGCTCCAGCTGGAGAAGTCTTTCTGGCAGCTTAATGCCCATCTAAATCAGCGCCACCCCCACCCCTCACCCTGTGCCCTGCCAGGCCCCCCAGGACCCCCTGCCGAGCACCTCATATGCCTCCCCAGTGCCCCTGCCAGGCCCCCCAGCACCCCCACCCGGCCCCCCAGCACCCCCCACCCAGTGCCCGCCGTGCCTACTGCCCGGGAATCTGGCACAATGCCCTGGGGCCTCACCTGCCATAGCAGTACGGGATGGGTTTGATCCTCTCAGACTCTATCTTGTGCAGCAGTGGAGTGAAAATGCGCCAGGCTTCGCGCAGCTCATCACTGGGGAGTGAGGGGAGTAACGTCAGTGCTGGTGCCCCCTGCAATGGCAGCCGGGGGGGCGCAGCATGGGGAGCAGCGACAGCCAGTGTCATGTGCTGAGCGGGCGGATGTGACCCGTGAGTGCTGGATGGGAAGAGGCAATCCCATGCAAAAGGGAGGGTCTGTCCCACACTGGGATGGGGGCCAGCACCCACCCAGCCCAGACCCAGCCACTCCCACATGGTCCCCATGTGCCAGCACTCACCTGCCCCGTCCAGACCCAGCCACTCCTGCATGGTCCCCACGTACCAGCACCCACCCAGGCCGAGACCCAGCTGCTCCCCCACAGTACCCAGGTGCTAGCACCCACCTGCCCTGCCCAGTTCCAGCTGCCCTGCTCTGCCCAGACCCAGCCGCTCCCCCACGGTCCCCAGGTGCCAGCACGCACCCACCCCACTCTGCATGGATCCAGCTCCAGCACCCAGCTGCCCTTGGGACAGGGATCAGGGCCGGGACTGAGCCCAGCACCCAGACATCCCGGGGCCCTCAGGGATGGGGAATCAGGGTCAGTCAGGCCCAGCACGTGGTTGCCTCGGTGATGGGGGATCAGGGCCGGAACCAAGCCCAGCTGCCCCGGGGCTCTCAGGGATGGGGGATCAGGGCCGGACAGGCCCAGCACCTGGCGACCTTGGGAATGGGAATCAGGGCTGGAACCGAGCCCAACACCTGCCTCGGGGATGAGGGATCAGGGCCAGTCAGGCCCAGCACGTGGCTGCCTTGGGGCCCTTGGGGTTGGGGGATCAGGGCAAGAGAGGCCCAGCACCCACCTGCGCACAAAGTGCATCTGATTGCCACAGAAGACGTCCAGGATGAGTCGCTCGTAGGCATCTGGCAGCTTCACATCCTGGGGAGATGGAGACATGAACTGGGGTATGAGGAAGGGAGCGGTTGTGTTGGGAAGAGGAGGCTGGGATGGGGGTGAGAATGGCTGGTTTGGCAGCCATAGGTTAGGTCCAGCTCTCACTCCTCATGGCAGTGGAGATGGAGGGAAGGGGGGGCTGTGGGGGGGAGCCAGCACCTTGTAGCGGTTGCCATAGGTCAGTTCCAGCTCTCACTCCTAGGACAGTGGGGGTGGGGGATGGAGGGAAGGGGGGGGCCTGGGGTTGGCACCTTGTAGTGGTTGCCATAGGTCAGGTCCAGCTCCGACTCCTCAGGCAGTGGGGCTGGGGGATAGACGGGAATGGGGGGTGAGGGGGCTGTGGGGGGGAGCCAGCACCTTGTAGCGGTTGCCGTAGGTCAGGTCCAGCTCTGACTCCTCGGGGTCGAAGAACATGCCGGGTTTCTTGGTCATCATCTTGGTGTAGACGGCCTCGTTGGGCTGCACCCGGATCACCAGCTCGTTGCGCTTGCACTGCTGGTGGAAGATGTCACCCGGCACATCCCGGAACTGCAGCCGCACCTCAGCCTTGCGTTCGTTCAAGGCCTTCCCGCAGCGTAGCACGAACGGGACACCTGGGGAGGAGGGGTTAGAGACAGAGCTAGGGCCACCCACCCCAATAGCACGACAGCACACACGGGGCAGGGACGGGGTGTGTAGGAGAGAGAGACACTCCCCAGCACGCAACACCACGAGAGAGGGGAGGACATCAGATTTTTCCTGTTCCACTCCCCCTGCTCAGGACTGTCCAGTCCAGGGCCACCCTGTCCCATCCCATCCTGTCCTATTCTTTCCCAGGAACAGCACCCCGACAGCACTCACCCCCAGGTGCTCGCTGACACCTCCAACCTCGCTTGCCTCCCATCCCATCCTCCCCACAGCATTGACTCCCAGACACTTGCTCCCCCATGCCATCCCCACCACAACACTGACTGCCAGGCGCCCGCTCATGTCCCCCACAGCGCTCGCTCACATCCCCTCTGGTCATCCCCCACCACGCTCGCTCAATCATGCCCCCCATGGCGATCACCCCAGTCCCTCCCCCCTTGGTACTCGCTTACCTCCCCACGGTGCTTGCTCACCCCCCCCTTCCTGTGAGCTTGCTTGCACCCCTGCTGGTCACCCCCCCACAGTGCTCGCTCACCATCCCATCTCTCGTTGTCCACGTACAGCACGGCGATAGCGAAGGTGGCTGTGTTCGAGCCAGTGGGGACGGTGGGGTCATCCAGGTAGCTCTTCCTGGCCTCACCCACCCCATCGGGGTTCCCCATGTACTGGCCCAGCACCACATTGCCCAGCTGCAACTCCGAGATGCACTTCAGCACCTTCACCTGCGGCGGGGATGGATGGCTTAGGTCCCCAGCATCACCACGGGGACCAGGATGCTGGGGAAGGGGAAGAGGCGTGGGGAGCACAGGGTGGGGGAGCCCAGGGTAAAGGGGCTCGGAGGGTGGCAGGGGACGGACGGGGCAGTACAGGGTCAGCGCCATTGCACCAGGGAAGTAGCCAGTCCGGTTCAACATAAGAATGGGCATACTGGGGTCAGACCAAAGGTCCATCCAGTCCAGTATCCTGTCTACTAACAGTGGCCAATGCCAGGTGCCCCAGAGGGAGTGAACCTAACAAGTAATGATCTAGTGATCTCTCTCCTGCCATCCACCTCCACCCTCTGACAAACAGAGGCTAGGGACACCATTCCTTACCCATCCTGGCTAACAGTCATTAATGGACTTAACTTCCATGAATTTATCCAGTTCTCTTTTAAACCCTGTTATAGTCCAGGCAAGGAGTTCCACAGGTTGACTGTGTGCTGAGTGAAGAAGAACTTCCTTTTATTTGTTTTAAACCTGCTGCCCATTAATTTCATTTGGTGGCCCCTAGTTCTTATATTATGGGAACAAGTAAATAACTTTTCCTTATTCACTTTCTCCACACCACTCATGATTTTATAGACCTCTATCATATCCCCCTTAGTCTCCTCTTTTCCAAGATGAAAAATCCTAGCCTCTTTAATCTCTCCTCATATGGGGCCCATTCCAAACCCCTAATCATTTTAGTTGCCCTTTTCTAATGCCAGTATATCTTTTTTGAAATGAGGGGACCACCCC